GATCCAGTTTCCTCCTAGGGGGGCAGTGGCTTTTGAGCTGGAGCTTTCTGTCAAGCTCTAATTAAACCCTGCCTTGATTGTTGTTCACTAATTAGACATTGATGATTTAAAGTTGGTTGTTTTTTTTGGTTTTTTTGCAAGAGATCCTGAATTCCTCATCATCCTCCCCCACATTCCTACACTTGGTTTTTCTCCTCTGAAGAGCCCATCCATGCCCACAATCAGCAGCCCTTTACTCTGCACCGGCCATCCCACAGGAATGGGGTGGGGATACCTCTGCCCCATCTCTCTGCCTGTCACCTGCCTCACCTGGCTTTCACCAGTGAGACCAAGAGACTTTGGGCCTCACAGTGCTTCTGCTGCAGTAGTGCAAGTCCTTCTTCAGCTAAACCTTCACTGAGGCAGGAGGAATTTCCTTTCCTTCTCTGCTCCTCCAAACTCTCTGCTCTAACAGAATCCTCCAACCTCCCAGCCAGGTGAATCTCTGAAGTTTGCCATAATGATGTGCCAGAGCCTGCATCAGGCTATGTCCCTGCTGTAAGATCTGGCCTGTGATACTCTCTCCATAGGTCATGGCAGCTCCTTCTCCATGCACAAGGTAACACATCCACCTGTGGCTGCCTCAGACGTTCCCAGGGAAGTTCAGCCCTGCCTGACGCCTGCCAGACAAGATTTTCTTGCTGGGACACACTACACCACCACCTCTGCATCAGGCCCTCTCTGACAGGAACATCAGCCTGTCCTGTAAGTCAGCAGCTCTCCCATGTTGTCCTGTCTCAGGTTAGGGTGGAGGGCCAGTCTCTGTTAATGATGCCTTGGACCTTTCCCAACAGAGAAGCCAGGGAGCCATGCTGCTCTGGGAGAGCTCCAAGCCAACCTGGGCTGGCTGGGGCCAGAAGAGCCAGCCCATGGCCCCACTGAGCTGAGCACTCAGGGTTCTCACAAGTGCAGTTGTCAGCAACACGTGTCATTACAAGGTGCAAAGTGTGACCAAGGACAAGCCCCAAGGCAAGGTGAAGGGTACCCAGGGGTGACAACAGCAAAGTGCTGTCATGGCCACCCAAACCTGAGCCAGGACAGGACATGAGGCATTGGGGAGAAGACCCAGGGCTGCCTCCAGTGCAGTGCCCTCTGCACACAGCTCTCTTTGCAGCAGTAGCAGCTGGGCACTCCACGCCACTTGATTAAGCTGCCGACAATCAGTAGGATTTGGGCTCTGAGCTTGCTTTAAACTGATAAATCTTCAGGATGGGGAAAATTAAAGATGAGGGAATTTCCTGATAAGCCAAGGCAGCTCCAGGTCTGGCTGTGGTCCTGATCTGGGTAAGAGGAGGTCAGGCTTTCCAGTCCAAGCCAGCTGCAAAGGAAAGAGCTGGGCTAGCTGAAAGGTCCTCACACGGAGGGGCTGTATCCTTCCACATCAAGGACTAGGGCCCTTCTCACAGAGGGGATGAATGGGGTCCTTCCATTAAGAATAAGGGGCCCTGTAGATCCTTCCAGTGGAAGCTCTAGGTCTATTCACACTTAGTATGTAGTGGAGAGTAAGTGTCCACACCTGGTAAAACTGTGCAGAGAAGGAAGTGAAGAGTCTTGCTACCAATGGAAGTCCAACATCATTCCTTAGGCTCTTTCTCCCAAAAGGACAGACCCTGTGTGAGGACACCTTGGAAGTCTGTGCATAAGGGGATACTTTGGATCCCTATCAATATGGGCATCAGGTCACCTTCTAGGGAAAGGTCTGGGTTGTTGCACAGTGTCACTTTGAGGAGTGAGTCTGTGAGGGTCTTGGGGTACATCTACAGTGGGGTTTCATTTGTGGAAGGACCTAAGGAGGAGCTATAGACATGGTCACATTTGGGGCAGGTTAATTACTGGACTTGAGTGGTCAAGTCTGCGGAGACATCAAGGTAAATGTATGGTGTACCTCTGTGGGAAGCACTGGAGAGAGCTGTCCTCACAGCCCTTTCATGATGCAGGATAGAGGGGGCCTGGGTACAATATGTCTTTAAGGGGGAACTGAAGGATGCTTTTAGAGGGATGGAGGATCCATGCATGGGCTTCTTCCAGTGGTGGGGTTCCTTTGGGGGATGAGTGTTCCCCTAAAGTGAATATCTCTTAGGGACAATCCCATATCTCTGGGGTTGACTGGGAGGCTAGTCCCTGATGTGGAGTGTGCTGGGGTGTCTGAATCCCCAGGGATTCAGGGGGCTGATCCAGTGCCCTAGGCTATGTTGTGGGGTGTCCCAATGCTGGTCCTTGACTGGGGTGTACTCAAGTGCCCCAAGGTGGGTCCCTAGCCCAGGATGTCCTGAGGGTCCAGACTGTCTAGGTGTCCCAGGGTTGGTGCCTGTTCTGGAGTCACCTGAGGTGGTCCCTGATCCAGCTCTCCAGCTATGTACCTCCCATAAGGGAGCCTTATGTTTCCTTGGGGTCAGACCTTGCCTAGGGAATCCCAGGCTCCAGTGCCCCAAGCAGGTGCAACCATTCCTGGTGACAGTGCCTGGTCTGGCTGTCCCGGGAAGCCCTGGAGTGTCCTGAGGACATTTCTTGGCTGAGAAGACCCATGGCCCTACAGTGCTTGTACCTATCCAGCTTCCTTGAGTGATCCCAATGTTCCCTGTGGCCAGCCTTTGCCTGGGGAGACCCAGGTGCCAATGCCTAGAGCCAGGACCTGTTTATGGTGCTCTGTCAATGCCATTGCCTGGCCTGCTTTTTCCAGGAAAGCCTGGGACGTCCTAGGGCCAGCTCCTGGCTGGGATGCCCTATGGATACACAGTACCTGTACCCAGCCCAGCTTTCCTGAGCAGCCCTTGTGTTCCTTGTGGCCAGGGGATAACAGGGAGCCTCAGTGCCAGTGTCCCAAACGGGTGCCCATTCCTGCTCATCTGTCAGCACTAGCACCTGCCCTGGGTGTCCCAAGAAACTGCGGGGCTGGATCCTAGAACCACAGCCCTGCAGTGTTTGGACTCAGCCCAGCTTCCTCGAGCAACCTTGCTGTTCCCTATAGCCAGGGACCCCACTACCACTGCCGGGGTGTCCCAGGGTGCCGCACGCTCAGCTCTGCCCACATCCTCCCCACCCGTCCCTGCCGCCAGGCCCGGGGCAGCCCGGTGCTCCCGGTGCCGGTGGTTCCCGGTGCCGGTGTGTACCTGCCAGCAGCTGCATCCAGGCGCAGATCTTGTAGACTGTGGCGGTGTTGCAGAAGAAGAACAGGGCGAAGCAGGTGATGCAGCCCAGCGTCAGCACCATGGAGAGCAGCACGAAGAACGCGGCCGCCTGAAAGGCGCCCGAGGGGATGGTGCTGAAGTCGGTGAAGGAGCCGCGGCACGACAGCTCCCGGCCCGCCAGCCCGCTGCCCACGCAGTAGTGGAACAGCCCGAAGTACCCGGGCTTGGGCGTGTTAACGCTGTCGCCCACCCAGTAGGGCTGGATGAAGACCACCACGTTGATGATGGCGAAGCAGATGGTGAAGATGGCCCAGAGCACGCCGATGGCGCGCGAGTTCCGCACGTAGTTGTCATGGTACAGCTTGGAGGCTTCCTGCGAGGGCAGCATCCTGCCGGCCGCCGCTGCCGGAGGGCGGGAGGGGCCGGGGCGGCGGGGAGCCCGCCCGGGGTCGGCGGGGCGGGGGGGCCGCGGCCTAAGAGCGCCCGCGGGCCGCCGGGCCCTGCGACACCCGCGCCGCCATCTTGGCTGCCGCCTCTGCGCCCCGCGCGCTCCCGCCGCGCGCGCGCGGCCGCGCGCCCCCCCGCCACTGCGGAGCCGAGCCCGGCCGAGCCCGGCCCGGCCCCGTCCGGCCCGGCCCGGCCACGGCCCGCCCGAGCCCGAGCCCGCCCCACGGGGATCCGACCGCTCCGCCGCCGCCTTCTGCTGCGCTCGCCTCGGGCTCGGCCGAGCGACGGGCTCGGCTCGGGTCGGATTGCCGGGCCCATTCCTCTCCCCCGGTCCGACGCCGCCCGGGGTGGTGCCGGGGCATGGCTCCGGTAAGTGCCGGAAGGTCCCCGCGTGGCTGCCTTTGGCCGGAGTGCGCCCGCAGGGAGAGCGTCCATCCTCCCGCACCCGTCACCAGCCCGGGGGAGGCCCGCGGGCTGCCGGCGTAGCCCCCGGGCGGGCAGCGGACCTTCCCCACCCTCCTGGCGGGGACCGAGCAAGGAGGTTGCCGCCACTGACTCCTGCCGCTCTGGGGCAGCAGGAGTCGACCCAAAACCTCTGACAAAGCGAGGCCAGGTACACGGCTGTGACAGGTCAGATGTGACAGGGCTGGGGTGTACAACGTGCGCCAGGCTAGGTGTGGGGGATGACTGGGCTGGGGTAAGTGGCTGTGCCAGTAGTGTCACACAAGCTGTCAGCACTTACATGCCGGCAGGTGCCCTTGCGAAATCCTGCCGCAGCCCCGCCAGCCTCACACCGATCCCCAACCCAGCAGAGACCAAACCGAGTCGGGCCAGTTTCATTCTCAGGCAACGAGATGCACAGCATTAGCTGCAGTTGAACTCGGCTGTCATTAAATGTTTGTGAAGATTCACAGCTGATTTGCAAATTAGACAAATGCACATAAAAACCACAAGGAGCCGTGTGCCTCCGGCTGGGCACGGGCAGTGCCCGTCACGGGCGGTGCATGCACAGCCCGAGCTGGCTCCGTGCCACTGCCCGGGCACACGAGCCAGCGCCGCCCTCAGCCGTGTTCTGGGCAGCGATGCCGCTCACCCCGCAACTCCTCCGCCACGGGCTCAGAGCGTGCCACCACACTCCGGGAGGGGCTTCTCTAATCGAAACCCGCCCCGGGATTCTGCCTTTCGGGCAGCGCCCTGGGCACGCCGGCCGGCGCCACGGTCGGAGCGGCTCGGCAAGGCCTAACAGCGTTTGCCCGTCTCTTTGCAGGTGTAAAGGCGGTGTCGGAGCAGCGCCCGGTGCCCGGCGCGGGGCTCGGCACGCCGGGGCGGAGCGCGGCGCGCCGCGATGACGCCGGGAGCGGGCGGAAGGGGCGCGGCGCGGGCGGGCGGAAGCGGCGGGCGGGACGATGGGCCCGCGGCGGCGGTGAGCGGCGCGGCCATGGCGGCGGCGGCGGCCCGCGGCTGCCCCCCGGCGGGCTCCGGGGACCGCTCCCTGGCCGAGCTGCTGCTGGAGTTCTCCCGGGCGCAGTACCGCGCCAAGGACGGCGGCGGTGCCGCCGCTGCCAAGGTGAGGGCACCGGGGCGCGGGGGGCGCGGGGAGCGGCGCGGCGGGCATTGAGCGGTGGCTCTGCGCAGGTGGAGCGGATCGAGCGGCGGTGCCTGGAGCTCTTCGGCCGCGATTATCGCTACAGCGTGATCCCCAACGTGCACGGCGAGGTCTGCGCCCACTACCCGCGGCACATCGTCTTCCTGGAGCGCGACGCCGGCGCCGGCCGTGACTCGTAAGGCCCCGGTTCCCGTGTCCCGTCCCGTGCAGCTGTCGCCCGGCGGAGTTGTTGTCCCGGGGAGCTTCCGCGCCGGGCGCTCCCGCCGGCCGGGGAAGCCCTGCGGGCTGCGCTGCGCTAATTATAGCCGGTGGTGTCAGCCGCTCCGGGACTCCCCTCGCTGCCTGCCGGGGCTGCCGAGCTCCCGTGGGGCTCCTCCCAGGGCTCTTGGGCCGCCGTGGTGAAAGCTGCCAGGCTGAACCTGTTACTCGGGGGCTGTGGAGGAAACGGGTGTGCTCCCGGGCACATGTGGCCCTAGAGTAAACCTGAGCACAGCGTTGGCTCCTGGTGATGGTTGTGTTGCAGCTCGCCTGCAGGCTCAAAGTTGTGAGCAAGCCTGTGTGATGCTCTCCCTGCCTTGATGAAGAAGTGCCTGTGGTCTTTCAGCAAGGCCTGTGATGTGGGAAGTTTTAGTCTGCAAATCATCTTGGAGCAGGGGGTCTGATAGGGGCTAGGCAGACAAGACAGTCTGGAGAGATATTTCTGTCATTCCAGACAAAATTCCAGGTTATTTAATCTCTTCTCACCATGGTGAATAGGTCAGTGGGTGCTGAGGTTTAGCAAGCTAATGAGAAACACTTGTTCAGTTTGGTGCGCATCTGAACCAGCACATCTCTGGACTTTGACCCACACGCTCAGGATCACATTGTTCTCGCTTCTGGCTGAGCTGCTCCTGCCAGCTCCAACCACAGTCTCTTGTTTTTACTGTTTTCTTCAACAAAACATAATGCAGTTTTGCAGTCTTGACTGTGTGTCCATGAGGAGAGTAATGTGTTCAAAAGAAGGGTCAACAAGTCCTTCTCACATGTCCAGCTGCTTTGCCTGAGGAAGGAAAACCATCAGCTGGCATGTAGGCTGGGTGCTGTAGGAGGGGGTCTTTGGAAACCAGCCAGAACTGACTGCCAGGTGGGAGAGTTTCTCCCTAACAGTTGGATGAGATTAGAAAAGCTTAAACCCCTTGCTGCAAAAAAAACCAGGAAGCTGAGGTTTGAAGCTGTTAAATGCAACTAGAGGAAGCTTTAAGGAAGAGAAACTGAATGCTTCTGCTTTTCCTGCTCTTGCAGGAGGACAGGATGCTTAATTTTTTTTGACAGCTATTCAAAACAAGAGTACTTACATGTGGTGCCCCATTTTCTTCTGTGACCTTTGCAAGCCAGTAGTGACACTTAACTGTATTTATAGTGATTCTTGGCAGGTTTTGATTTGCTGTCCGAAAGAGAGTCAAAAAAACACACTACACTTCATTATCACTCTCCTGATTTCAGTGTGATGATTTTTAGACAAATGCGGGTTTTAGTTTAATCATTTTACTCCTATGGAATAATTATGAAATAGAGACCATTGCATGTCTTGTGTTATGGAAGGCAAGAACCTCTTTCAGTGAGCAGGACACTCCATCCAGGACTGAGTCTCTGGCTGCCTCTTGTGGAACCATAGAATGGTTTAGTTGGAAGGGATCTTAAAGTTCCAACCCCCACTGCCATGGGCAGGGATAACTTCCACTAGATCAGGTTGCTGAGGGCCCCACCCACCAGGCCTTGAAGGCTTCTGGTTTTATCTTTGTAATGGTTTTAATCAGCTGGTAAGATCTACTTGAAGCTTCAAAACTCTGAGAATACTGAGGTGCTTTGGAAGCAGTTTTCATGTGTACAAACTCTTTGCTGTACCATCATTTCTGTCAGTACAGCTGCTTCTGGAGCCATGTGGGGAAACAACAAAAAATTGATACTTTTTTAACCCAAATCAGTTCATTCTGTAGCTGGGCAGCTGGTGGAAGAAAGACTTTGCTTGATCAAAGTTTGCTAACAGTACTCTGAAATCCAGGCAGGTGCAGAAGGAATTCTGTGTGTTTTGAACCTTTTTTTTTAGATTTTTATTCCTGTTTATGCTCCAATTAACCACTAGCTCCTGTAGAAGCATTACACCTGTTCTTCAGAGCAGCTTCCCCCTTGCTGCCAGAGTCTTGATACAACTATGTTTGTTTACCACGTTCATCTCTTGCATTACTGCGGGTGGTTATTGAGATGAGAAGATCTGAGAGCATCATTTGTAGCACAGCCATGACTGATGGCAGAGCGGGTCTCTCCAGTGTGTGTGCAGGCTTCCCAAGGAACAGTGGTGTGCCTGGGAGAGGGGCTTATCCTTCCATGTCCCCAGCAGGGTGCAGGGCTTCCCGCTCACTCCGTGTCCTGGGCTCCTGCCAGGCTGCTCAGACTCACTCACAAGTGCTGCAGAAACCTCTCCTGGGGAGTGGAGTGAGTGAAACCTGTGTTGTCTTGTCTCAGCTCCCAGAGAGGTGCTTCTCTTATAATTTCTGATCTTTCAGGTATTTCATTTTTGCTAACTCTCATCTTCTTGAAAGCAGTGCCGTGGAACTATTTTGGTAACGCTGCATTTAAGTTATTGTCTCCCTCCATATTTGCTTTTGCAAAGGAAACATAGAAGGAACTGGAGCAGAGTGCAGGATATGATACATCACTTAATTGCATGCATTCATTTAAAAACAGTCCCACAACCAAATCTGCATCAAAATCTTTTGAATTTCAGAATAATTTGGTGTTGGGAAGTATACACAAAGGCAACTCTTCTCACACTTGCTCACATTTTCCTGCCTTTCCAATTAGCACCCTCATGTTCACATTGTTTAAAGAAGATTAGCTTGAGTTTTTGCTCTTTAAATTCTGGTATTTGTCAAAGGTCTTTGGAGTTGGACAGCAAAATCATTGTATATGCAGGAAAACATGAAAAACTTAAAGCACCACTATGAATTCTGAGAACCAAATCCTTCTATTAAAAAAAAAGTATTTGGAAGTCTTGTTTTCTGTTTTCCTGCTTCTACTGGCACCACCTTGTATTATATTTTCCATAAACAGATCAGTTTCCATTTTAATAATAGATTATTTTTTATAACTGTTCCCAGAATGGCAGCTGCTGGTCCATTGCTCCATGCTCTCGGTGATTCGGAAGTTTTGCAACTTTAGTTAACTTCCATTGTAAAGATATTAATTTATTCCTAGGCCAGTGTTGGGCTTAGTGTTTGAGTTCTCCTCCTCCTCCATGTACTCTCCTTCACCCTGATGCACATCTTCCTGTGTATCTGCTCGTCTTTATCTGCTCTTTCTATCAGACCCTGGTGGTTTCTCTTGCAGCACAGACTCTCCCTTGGCTGTCCTACTCACCTTCCTGTGCCTCTTCAGGCAGGGGTGGGTCACTAGAATCAGATGATTTAGCTGAGCTGAGAGCCTGTGCTCTGCACGCTAATGCTGGTACTTCTACATCTCCATGGTCTTATTTTTCCTCTTTCTCAAGTTTACCATGTTGATAATGTTTTAACATCCAGAGATCAGGCAGTTCATCTGCCTCTTCTACTGTGCTCCGTTACTGGAAAGGCTAACTGGAAATTCTTGTTAACCATCTCCAGGTGCATAGCCATGTAGTTTTGTATGTCCAGACTTAACCTAATTTCTAATATTTCACTCTGGATACTTCTCCAATTCCAGCTCTAGTCCTCTCTACATTGACAGTTCCTCCTTGAGGTCTGTGTAGTTCAGAAGTGAGTTTGGATTCCTGTCAAATGTGGGCTGGTACTTAGGCAAACTGGAGCAATTTTAACATGTTTCCAAAATGTCTTCTGGTATGAAACACAATTCTATTTTAACTTCAACAAGAAAACCAAACAAAATGTAATTCTGCAGATGCAGCTGACAATCTAAGCACCCTGCTCAACACACTAGCTGATTTAGTTAATTACCTGGTAACACAAATGTTTGAGGATCACACATTGTTCAAAATTTGGTTTTCTATTATATTTCTTTTATTCTTCCAAAACTATCCCTCTGATAGTGAGTTCACTATGATGATAGTGTTCAGCTGCTTTTGAATGGAAAGATGATAGCAGGGAAAACAGAAAATCTATTTTTGTAGTCACTGACTGTCCTTCCCTAGTAATCCACGTGTTAGTCTGTGGCAGGCCCCACTGGTGGTGCTCATATTGCCACTTCCTGATGGTGCTGTCATGTACTGTGCATTTCCAAATAAAAAAAAGGAGCCAGAAAAGTGTCCAAATGTGTTGTACAGCAGCAGAAGCAATTCTCAAAGTGTTTTCATGCATACTAAATTCAGAGCTGACTTCTAGGGAAAGGGATGGGATCCCAGCCCAGGGTGTCAACGGCAGCTTTGCTGGAAGACGTGTGAGAAGATGCTCTGTGTACTGACCTGAATCTCTGCCCACTAGGTATGAGAGCACTGTGCAGGTTGGCAAACTGCAGGACCTCATCAACCGGAGTAAGATGGCCAGGTGTAGAGGACGCTTTGTTTGCCCAGTCATTCTGTACAAGGGAAAGGTAAAGTCTCATGGATTACCTGTCTTTACTGAGAAAATTTCCTTTATCTCTGCCATTTGAACTGTGAAGCCATCAGTCACTTGTCACTTTTCCAAATGGTGTAAAAATCTGTGCTTAGGTACAAGCAGACAGCCTGTAGCAGCAGGGAGCAATTGCTTAAGCTCTCTGTGGGCACTTCAGGCTGTTCTCCCCCACCAAATCATGAGCCTTGCACCAAAGAGCTAACTGTTTTTTTTTTTTCTCCTATGTTTGTGCTTTCTGAAGTTCTTAAGAAATTTGGCATTTCAGAGGAAAAGATAATTATTGTTCCTGTTTGTCCCTTACTCTTCCCAGCAGCTCCCTTTGAGGAACTTTTCTCTCTCCAGAGAAGTTTCCTTTGTCTGTTCCCTTGAGAGGCAAGATTGCATAAATGGTCTTATGAATGTGTGGGCTTGTCTGCAAGGGGATCTATAAGAAAGTGAGATTAGATTAATTTTTATGTGAATTACTTAAGCTATGTTGAAGCCGTGTAAGAATAGTCTCATTTAGAATTTAAGCACCTTAATTCAGTTTTCTTAGTTGAATTTAGAAACACTGTATGAATAGCAAAATCATACCTGTGACAATTTTAATCTAGCTTGACTGAAGCCATTGTGGGCTGCATCTGCTGACCTTTCTCTGCAGGAGTGAACAGCCCAGAGTCATCTTGGGACCATCCATAATCTCATCCAGAGGAATGTGGAAATAAGGCTCAAGCAGGGTATTAACAGAGCATGTGTTGCTAAATTGGCAGGAACTGACTGTATTAATGCATTGGAGAACTAAAGATGAAAATATGATTTAAAAACTAGCTACAGATAAAGGCACTTGGCAGTTTGCTGTGTTTGGAGAATTCAGTCTGGACTAGGGTTGCAGGGCAGACAGCTGAGAGGTGATAGCTGTAGATACCAACTCTTTCTATGTAACCTGACAGCATATAAGCATGGTAAGGGAAAGACTCCTGGAGCCTGTGTGATTAATAAAAAATCTTCCTCCAGCATATTTGCAGATCAGCAACACTGGCCGGCTGGGGAGAGCTCTATGGGCGCACTGGCTACAACTATATCTTCTCTGGTGAGTAAGGAGCCATTTGTCACTGTCTGCATGGTGAGGCTGGTCAGTGCTGGGACAGAGACCTACACATGAGGCCAAGCTTTTCCCAAGACCAGTGGGAGCTCTAGGATGGGCTGCTTGTATCAGACTTGGCATAACAGTGAAGACTGAAACCTCATGTCCATTTCTAGCTCGTAAGAATCTCAGTGATGAAAGAGCTTGAGGTTGAAGTGTGAGTTACAGGAAACATGCAGGCAAATAAAGGCATGCCAGAGGATTCAGGGTACCAATTTCCAAACACTGGGGATGGGAATAATGAAGGAAAGAGGATTAGAACTTGCTGTTGCTTGAATCATTGCTGCTAATGGTGAGATATACTGGACTGCAGGGAAAGCTCTTCAGGGGAGTAAGTGGGTGTCTGTAGTGTGGGAGCTGAAACTTGGCTTAAAAAAGCATGCATACCATTTTTGAGGTATCCTCTGGCTATCAGTCATGGGTTTGACCTGCCCAGGTACTTTGCAATGACAAGGAAAGAGAGGGCTACATTAGCAAACAAGATTTTCAGGAAGAGGAAATGTGGGGAACCACACTTAGGTATGAAGAGAAGACACCAAACCATGACCTTTTTGTTTGTATACATATCTTGTCAGATTGGGGATTGAGTTGTTTTACAAAAGCTTCACTTCTTAATGCCTTTCTTGCAGGAGGTTCTGATGATGCTTGGGCAGATGCAGAAGACATTTCTGAGGAAGACTCTGCGCTTAGGTTTGTATGCATCATTGGGATGAGGAAAAAGGAGTTTGCTGACTGGTTCAGCCATTCACTTTGCTCTTTTCTAGTTTGGGTTTTGGGCACAGGCTTGAGACCCATCACCAGGCTCAAGGTCTTATATTCCTTGCTTTTGGAAAAGAGTCTTGAGTATTAATGGCTGGCTGAACCTAGTGTAGCTGAAGCTGCTAATCTATTGCCAGAGGGAAGGGCTGGAGACAGGAATGTGTAGAGCCATGAAAAACTAATTTGAAGGGCATGGCTGTGTTAACTTCGTCCAAAACTACATCTCCAGGCTGTAGAAAGTGAGATGTGGGAAGGGACCGTGAGCACAAACCTTGCAGTGTCAGTTTGCAGAGTCTGACTTGGCTCATGCTGCTTATGTCTAGAAGTGGTTCAGGGAAGAACTGCGGCTCAGCTGGGAAGAATCAGACTTAGCTTGGTCAGTCTACCATGCTCACCTTGCTTGCCTTGTTCTGTCTTGCAGAAATGCAGACTCCCAGCTGTTTGACAAGGTCAGAGGGCACGACATCAAGCTGCTTCGATACCTGTCTGTCCGATACATCTGTGACCTGATGGTGGAAAACAAGAAGGTGAAATTTGGCTTGAAGTGAGTCTGGGTTCATTTGTTTTTGTGCAGGCTTTGGATTGCAGCTAGTGTAGCCCTTACATGTGGATTGCTGGCAGGTGTGCACTCAGCACCCTGTGAGCAGTCCCTGGAAGAATCCTACAGCAGGATAGGTTAGTTGTTGCTGTAAAGAAAACCCCAAGGTTTTAGGCCACAGAAAACTATATCAATGTCCAACATAGCTGCTTTTATCTGTCTTCTGCAGTCTGAATGGCTTTTTCCCTGTAAAGCTTATAGTAATGAGGCAGTCACCCCTTCAGAAGGGAGACAGCAACAGAACCCTCTGTTCCTATGCACAGAGGGAGCTGTTTCTCCTATTTAGCTCAGAGAAAAGCTTTAGTGATTTTGGGCTGTACCTATTTATGTGCATGTGCTGAGTAAGTTCTGCCCCTGCTCGCAACTGAGTCAAATCTTAGCCAAGGGAGATGCAGCAGGTAGTTTTTTGGGTGCTGGTGTCTGTGCAAAAAACACTTGTAAATATCTGCTGTTTTCCTCTTGTCCTGTGCAGCGTGACGTCTTCTGAGAAGGTGGACAAAGCTCAACGTTATGCTGATTTCACACTTCTCTCCATCCCATATCCAGGTACAGGAATGATGTCCAGAGGGATTCACAAGGGACAGATGACAATCTGTTTCTGGGGACTGGGAAATAACTCTATATGTGTATATGTAAATGGCTGTGACTTGCTGAATGTTTCCTTTGTTTCTTCTCGAGAAAAACTCATTTAAACTGAGAACAGTGCAATGAACCTGGATGCTCTGGCAGTGAGTCAGCATTAGGCACTCTTTGAGGTGGCAAAATAATTCTCAGCAGTCCTTATTAATTCAAGTACAGAGGAAAAGTCCCAGAGGTAGAGCTGGTTAAGATGGCCTTTGACATCTCTGCAACACTAAACTACTACTTGATGCAAAATAGATATCTTGTTCTTTGTTATGTAAAGACCAAATTTGTAAGGGTCATTTCTACTCTAGAGTTCCAGAGCTCCACTGTAAGAAATCTCAGTGCTTGCAGAACAGTTCACCTGGGCCTGCAGTGTAGAACAGAGGCAGCCCTTTGCAGCCTGTCTCCCTGGCTGTTTCCATCCCTGTGCCTAGCAACCGCTGCTGGGTCACTCACACTCTTACAGATGAGCTGAATATTCCTGCTGCCTGCTGATGTCAGGCTTGGAGACAAGATCAGATGTGAGGCTGCTGTGCCTGAGGTCTGTCTGCAGACTCTTCTTTCTCCCTAGTGCACAAAGAAAGGGAGAGGAGAAAAAACCAGAACCAGGAAAACTCTGGTGGATGATCCAGACACAGACTTTTCCTTGATTGCTAGTTGTTGCTCTTAAACATTTTTTAAAGGTGTATTTCATTTTACACAGAAATTAGTGACAATTCAGAGAACCTGCATGAAGATTTCTATCAAGTTTGCCATGCAGGTTGCCAAAATGTACAGAAATAAGAGTTTTACTGGTTTCTATAGTACATAGCACAGATATATGTTGCTGCTGCATACATCACCAGACTTGGAACATGAGAAAGATTGTGTACACAGGTCTTTTGTAGGGCTGTAAGAAATGAAGAAGTGAATCTATAGAGTTAAGCTGCAGAGTTTTTTTCTGTATGGGAATCTGCATATGGTAAGCAATATTATTCAGTGATGGTCCTTCTTCTTATTCCCTCCGGGACAGCTGGTTTCTTTTAGCAGCTCTTCACTGCCATGCTGGAGATAAACCTTATAAATCTGCAAATACTCCCTGCAGATGTTGCCTGATTTCATCAGTGCTGGTCCATGGGGGAATGTTGTCATTCTGTTAAATCTAAGGCATACACATCTAAGGATCAGCAACCCCTCTAGTGACTGGCCAAATGCCGTGATACATTCTTATTGATGTTTCCAGGGTTGCACTGAAAGAATTTCTGTTTTGTAATTTGTTTCTGAAGTTATTCTGAGATCCTGTTGCCTTAGGTGAGCAAGACAGCGTCCAAACAGAGTCATAGAATTGCTGTGGTTGGAAAAGAGCTTTAAGAGCATTGAGTCCAATCATTAACTCAGTGCTGCCCAGTCCCCCACTAAATCGTGTCCCTGAGTGCCACATCTGCCTGTCTTTAAATACCTCCAGGGCTAGTGACTCCACTCCTTGCAGAGGGTGCATTTGATCCTCTCATCCAGATCATCAGTAAAGATATTAAACAGGCCCCAATACTGAACCCTGGGGAGTAGCACAAAACCTGGGGACCAGATACCAACTGTGTTTAACTCCATTCACTCCATTAACTCTTTGGGTTGAGCCATCCAGATTTTACCAAGTGAAGAGTAAGAACTGTCTGGAGTGAAAGACATGAGTTAAAATGGGGTATCTGTAGAAGCTTTTGGTATTTGTGGATGCCAACACTTATGCCATAATCCCCCATTCTTTGCATGAAGTCATTGTTTAACTGGAGTTAGATCTCAACTGACAGACTGTGTCCTGGAGGATTAGTCCTATCCTTGCACAGATTCTTTTCTTGTTTTTTTTTTTTTTTTTCCATTGAAGTTACTTGTGACTTGCAGGGCAGGAATCTCTCTCCATGTGTGCCTGACACAGGGGTGTCTGGGTGGTGTGGACACTGTGGCACTGCTGAGGTGTGCACAGCACACTGGCAGAGGTGTTTCCTGTAGCCTGCAGGCAGCCGCAGTGCTAATGGTGCTGCTCAGCTGTGACTAAGTGACTGCGGCTTGCAGCAGAGACTTCAAAGAGTTGTTTGAGAAGAGCTGAGCCAAAGGACACACTTCAGGAGGGGAGTGCTTGGGGGACAGCTTGGAAGTGGTTATGTATCCGCATCCTTCATGTGGGGTAAATCCCATGTTTGAAAGAGAAGACTTAAATGTGAGGGAAATCAAGCCACCTCTGACAGAGCCCTTTCTTGTTACCTGCAGCAGATGCCCTGTGAAAGTTGGCTTTCCCTGGGGCTCTGTCAGCACCTTCTTTTGGTGGTTCCTTCTCACTCAGCATGTCAAGCTGATGCCTTAGATCTGTGCGGAAGTCCAAGGCCCTGCAAAACATAGCTCCTTGCTGAAACCTTTTGTTCAGGAAAAAATTAAATCAGTCCTTCAAGCTCCCCATTTGCTGTAGTTGGAGTTTGCCCTTTGCTGTGTGAGTGTCTGCACTGCTAAGTGCCCTGGGCTGTTATTGCTGGAGGCTGTGCTACACAGTGTACTGAGGATTACTGCTCTTCTCCTCCCACAGGCAGCAGTTTTGATTGGTTTGGATTTCTAGAGCCTGGGGCTGCCAGCACTCCTAGTCCCACAGGCACTTCACTTGTTAGATACCAGTTAGCTGAATTGTTGTTCATTATCTCCTTTTCTTGCAGGCTGTGAATTTTTTAAGGACTACAAAGACCGGGATTATACAGCTGAAGGTCTCATATTTAACTGGAAACAGGTACATGGATGTTGCAAAATGGAGAGCTCTGTGTTTTACTGGGTTTGAGTCTTGCCTCCCGGTTTCTTGGTGATGGTCTGTATATCATGTGCCTATTTCTAATCACAAGGAGGAAATCAACAGGACAAAGAAAACAGATACAGAATGTACTAAATTATTGGTTGTAAAATTCATATGTAGAATAAATGAATTATTATCCTGAAGTTTAGGATGGAAGGTATGGGTTGCTCCCAGTTTTGAATTCTGACCTTATTGAAAGCCTTGGTTCTTGGTTTTTTCTTCATATTTTGTCTCCCGCTGAGGGGATGGTTGAGTGGGGCAGTCTTGTAGAAATTTAGAGACTAATATGCCCAGCTTTCACTGTTGGGAGCACATAAAAGCTCCTCTGATCCATTAGTCCTTCCAAGAGCCTGAGTTTATTCTTACATCTTCAGGATTTTACATCCAAAGATGCTTTGCTGAGATGTTTTCTTCTCATGCACCATTTGGCATTTGTTGTCTTGTGGATTTTTTTTGGTTTTTCAGGGTTTTTTTTTGTTTTTTTTTTGTTTTGTTTTGNTTTTGTTTTGAGGGTTTTTTTTGTGGGTTTTTTTGTGTGTGTGTGTGGTTTTTTTTGGTTTTTTGGGTGTTTTTTTGTTTTGGGGTTTTTTTTGTTTTTTTTCTGGAACTCAGGCCCTTTGAGTCGTGACTTTTCTCTGACTAACTGTGTCTGGGTTTTTTACAGGACTATGTAGATGCTCCATTAAGTATCCCAGTCTCTCTGACCCAATCTCTGAATATTGATTGGAGCGAGTACCAGGTGAGCAAAGTGGATATCTCTGTGGGAGATCAGGAATGTATTCAGGAAGGATCAGGAGAGGTTTGAAATCTGACTTGCTCCTATTGCTGTAATCCGGCTCACTTTCTACCATCCCAGTGGGGCAAGGCTGCCTGGCAGTTCAGAACAGCAATGGAAATCCTGTACCCAAAAGCTCCGTGGCTTGCTGTGCCCCAAGGCAGCTGACTGTAAAGTCAAACCTTTTAATGTAGCTTTCAAAAATTTGCAATCCATTAGGGAGATAGGTTGCTAACAAATGTAAGGAACAAGATGGGAAACAGAAAGCAGTATTACCTGTTCTCAGTCTCAGCTCGATGTAGGCCTGCCCTGGGCAGACTGCCTTGGCTGTGGGAAGTCATGACAGAGGTCAACCTTCTCCTCTGAGCTGGGCCAAGGGATTGGGCACCTTCTGCATGGGTATGCAAGGTGCCTTCCTAAGGGAGAGGAGTAGAGGATCATAACTGGCCATGGCAGGTCTCCACTCCTTACTATGGACAGCATGGCAAACAGTAATTGAACTCTTCTGTTTGCTCAAGCTTCAAAGTCTACCTTTGTTCACACTAGGAAGTATCACCTTATACTGCTGATTAGTATGCTCTATTTCACACATCAGTGGATCTACCAGGTTTTGTGGGGATTAACTGTGCTGGAGCATGTAATATTATTGTGCCCTGTGGCTGGAAGCACCACAGAACCAGCAGAGCTCCCTGTGCTGGGCCAGTGTTTGTTGTCAGTGATGTAAATACTGTTTAAGTGTCAGCATAAGCAGAATCACAGAAAACTTGAAGAAGAACTAATAGAACTAGAGCTTGTGTATGGCTAGAGACTTGTTCACTAGAATACTGAGCAGCCTGTATTTTAAAAAGGATATTAAAAACTGAAGAGGATGTAATAAATAGATGCAGAAATCATTTGAGGCTTGGAGAACATGCTTCACTCAAAACTGAAGTTCTAAGTCTGTTTAGCTAATCACTAAGGTGATTAATGTGTAAGTACATTTTTAGGGAGAAAATAGTAATTCTAAAGCACTCTTTGATCTGGGGAAGAAGAGCTGCACAGGAGGCAATATCTGCATCTGAAATCAAGCCTTCAGATAAGGAAAAACAGTCTTGCACATTACTTTTGAGGATAATCTGCTGGAACATGCTGCCAAAGGAGTAACGAGCTGTCATCCCTATTTGAGATGCTTCTCTGGGCAAAGATGTTGCCAAGTGCAAGCCTCAGGCTTTACATGGGGCAACTGAAGAAAACTTTCTCATTCGTGATACAGAGGGATCAGACTGGATAACTGGATGATGCCTTCTAAAATAAGCAGAAGATGGCTTGAATTGGGCAGATAAAAGATTTTGTAATTATGTGTTTTTCTGCTGCAGGCTGACTGTGTTCCCCGTTTTCCCTAATGTTTTGGGCTCTGCAGGCTTCACAGCTGAGCAGTATGCTCTTTGTCTGACACTAGTCTTCAGTGTGGTTACACACACATGTGCACATGTGCAGGTGCACGGCGAGGGTTCTGGTGCTTGTGGTCACCACTAACACTTCTGCCATGAAATCTGTCTCACTCTGCTTCTTCCTTGCCAATGCTATCTTATTTCCCTTGAGCTAGTCCTGGTTCTGATCAAACCACTGAAATTCCCTGCATCTGCTCGTGATGTGATGGTCAAGTGACAAACTTGGGCTTGTTCTGATGCTCTTCACCTGTATGTCCTGTAGTACTGGAGTCCTCTTGAGTTCAGAGCCTTCTGTAGTTCTGCTGCTGCTTGGGGGTTACTGAAGAAGTCCAGTGCCTGTCTGGAGGGTGGGTGAGGGTCAGCAGCAAGCTGGGGACATTTTCAAGCACCACAGAGTTTTGAGGAAAGTGCTTGGGTTGTGGGAACAGGCCGCTGCCTTGGCCTGCACATCCCATTGTGCTGCTGGCTTTGCACATGTGGCTGGAATGTGGCTCAGCCACTTGGAAAAGTGCACGTGTGCAGAACTGGGTCAGTGCTCTGCAGGTGTTTGCTGCCTCTCTGAGCATGGGCTGCTTGCAGCTTTGGGGCTGCAGGCAAAGCAGCTCCTCTGCCAGCCAGGAGGACAGTAGAGATGGCCTTTTATTGTTTTATTTGTCTACCAGGTATCTTGTCCCAGAGTGACTTTTGCAGAGGGTGGGGGGATTGATACAAAGGGGAAGTCTGTCACCTTGATGAATGGCCACATGGTTATTTCTGCTTTGCTGCTATTCTGGGTAGAGCAGCTCTGAAGTGCAGAGCAGCCTTTTGCTGTGGGCAGAGCCTTACCATCAACATTCCTCTTTCTGCAGAGCTGGGACCTCATTCAACAGACACAGAACTACCTGAAGCTGCTGATCTCCATTATCAATAGTGATGGTAAGGCAAACTCCTTGCTCCCAGTAGTGTAACTGGAGCAGTCACTGTCCCTGGAAGAACAGCTGATGGTCTTAGTGCCACTGTGGATCAACTCCCAGTACAGAAGTCACTTTTAATTCCCTTCAAAACAGGATGATGGTCCTACCATCTCAGAACTCCAACTTCCCTCTTAGAAAGGGACTTGCTGATTCCTTGAAAACTTCCTGAATATGAAGGGATATCTGAAAACTTAGCCTATTTTTTTACTACTTTAAACCTGAAGAGAAGGAGTATTGTGTCTTTGCTTTTTGACTCTTGCTCTTGTTTTGCTGGTTACCTGTGTTTTGTCTCGCCAACACAGGATCCCATTTGGTGCCTTTTTAAGAGCCCCTTTCACCAGGGACACTCCAAGCATTTGAAGAGTGTCTGTTGTCCTGTGTGGCATCCCATTCCCTCTGGGTATTGTGACCTAGCACTGATGGATGGGTCCATGGCTGGCTCTGACAGCATGGCCAGCTATAGTCTCCTACAGTAGCTGTGCTGGGACACACTGCAGGCTTTCTGTAGGGTGTAGGATTTGTGCCTTGTGTGTACCTCTGCTCAGTGTGCAGTAGGAAGGTTAGTGAGACTGAAAAAAACGTTCAGCTGAAGCTGTTTTCTCACCAGTGTAGGAATAGATTGTGATAGTGGGTTACAGCTGGGTAGTTGTATGTTCAGGATAGTAAAGTGATGTTCATACCTAATGACTCTGTATCCTGAGCAGCTGTCAGGATCAGGACAGCACATCAGCTGGTGCTGCTGACAGCCCAGGACACTCTGAGCAATTTGTTGGCTGCTGTATTTAAGACAGAATGTTCTGGCTGAGCTCTGCTCTAGAGCCTGGGCTGTGGGTACAGAGAGTAGCTTGTCTCTACAGATTTGCCATAAAGAAATCATTACTTTCATTGCATCATCCTTTTTTTTCCTCCTCCTTCCTACCCCTGGAACAGATGACAGCGGGCTCCTGGTGCACTGTATATCCGGCTGGGATCGAACGCCTCTCTTCATCTCCTTATTGCGCCTCTCCTTATGGGCTGTGAGTACCTGGCTGCCCTCCTCTGTCTGTGGGGCTGATTGCTTGGAGGGTGAGTGACTGTCACCAGGAAGTGGTGATGGAGCTGTTAATGTTGCTAATGTTCCTTGGGACATGCTGTCACAGGCAGGTAGAGGAAGATGGGCACCCTGGATCACCATGACGGTTTTCAGCAGATCGTGAATTCCCAAGTTCTAGTCCCCAGGGCTGCTGCCTGAAGGCTGTGTTGTTTTCTTTGCAGGATGGGCTGATCCACACGTCCCTGGAGCCATCTGAGATTCTCTACCTGACAGTGGCCTATGACTGGTTTCTCTTTGGGTAGGCATGATAAGTTTTAATCACATTACATCCCTTTGAGGCAGGGGAGAAGTCTTGAGGAATAATTTTGATTTTTGTTCACAGTGAAAGGTTGATGTTTGAGCAGGTTCCAGTGAGCTGGGACAAGAAGGGCTGGTGCTTTTTTTTTTTAGCTGAGGGCTTAGGCATCTGGCTGTTCTTGACAGCTTATACTCTTCTGCTAATTCTGGCATGTAACTGAGCTTCCCTTGCTCTCTTTCTAGGCACATGTTAGTCGATCGACTCAGTAAAGGAGAAGAGGTGAGTGTTGGTCTGGGGCAGTGGCTGAGCACTACTTCGTTGTTCTCAGGATATCTGTTTATGGTAGCAGCATTCACTGCCTTCTCCTGGTAGTATCAGTGGTGTGACTGGGCTCTAAAAACATTGTTCAGGTGCTGGAAATGTGAGAAAAGAGCCTTGCCCTGTCACTTTGTGATGCATAAGTTGTGGGGTTACTTCTCTCTCAGACTGCAGTTTTGTTGGGGGGTGTCACTCCTGCCAGTTTCTCTCCTGTGCCATTAGTGTTCAGGCCCCACATCAGAGGGTGCTAGGACTTGCTGTCCAGCTCAGCAGTGATAAGGATGCTTAAGGTGACTCCTTGAAAATAAAGCTGGATAGTCCTGTGTGCTTGTCCTGAGTGCCAGCCCTCCTGCCTGGGTGCTGCAGCTGCATGAGGCTTGCATGTCATCACAGGCTCATGGAGCAGCTTGTGCTGGTTCCGGTGTGTGAGTTTGGTGGGATGTGTCTGTGGGTACACATATGAGTCTGGGACACACTTAAAATTAGTCAAAGTAATTATCTTCAAAATCTTTCACTGCTGAACAGCAAGAAAAGATTATTCTAACTATAGTTGCAGTATAGTGTACTACCATTTCTGAATAGAAAAGAGGTGGAGTGTGTGTCTAACCCTGTTGCTATTCCCCTGCTCCTTGAACTTACCTTACTAAGGAATCCTCTCCTTCAAACAGCACAGACGTGACCCTGGCCTATTTTCTATCTTTCAGGGGTACAGAATCCCCTGAAAGAGTCAGGATCATTCCTCCTATTCATTCTTTTCCTGGAGTTGTACTGGCTCGAGCCTGAGAGGTCTGCTTTGCTTGGTCATGGGTGGGGTCAGTAGCTGCAGCAGGAGAGGGGTGCCTGGCTGCCTCTGGCACTCCCTGCTCCCCACTTCTCCCAGGAGAAGGGCACAGCTCTGCACAGGTGGGTGGGATGCAGAGGCACAGTGGGGTGAATGATGCAGGGCAGACTGGTGTGTGGCAGGGTACAAGCTTGGGGCCACAAATGCTGTAGGTACCTCATGCTTCCAAATGTGGTACTGGTCTGCTGCTGAGGTGGAGCATGTGGCTCTAACTGTGCAAGTCCTGCTGGGTTTGCTGCTCACCTGGGTGTATAAGCAGCTGCTGCCATCTCTGTTCCTTTCTGCACCGATGGCATCAGTACCTGCTGTGGGCTTGCAGCATGTGTGCAAGGCATTGATAAGGAGACTTCTTGTTCCCCTTCCTTTCTGGGCCTCCCCGTGGCGGGGAGCAGAGAGGCAGTTTACATGGAAGAGAAGGCCCAGGATGGGATAGTGGCAGCCCATGGCACACTGGAGGCTGGTAGCTGCAGATTTTTTGCTATCTCCTTCCTGCCAGCACCTCCTCACCAAGATAAGAGGCTGCACGGAGCCTCAGGTTCATTCCTGAACCACTCTTCTCTTTCCCTTTGCTCAGATTTTCTTTTTCTGCTTCAATTTTCTGAAGCACATCACCTCTGAGGAGTTCTCTGCTCTGAAGTCACAGAGGTAAGGAGCCTGTGCTTGCTGCTGCATGGGCTACAGAGCCAGGGAGCTTGTTAGTGCTGCTTCTTTGGGGAGACGGAAGCCCTGGTGTCCTGGCCCAGTTTTCTTTAATTTATTCTGCACTCTGAAGGCTGCAAAACGGGGCCGAGGCTTGTGAGATGCCACGTTGTGCTCTGAAAATCTGTCCATGCTGAAATGTGCTCTCTGCTTAATGACTGTCCATGGCTGCTTTAGTACAGATGAGCCCAGAGATGTGTGCTCTGGCTCAAGCAGGCTGCACAGCAAGCTCCATCAGGCACTGGTGGGCACAGAAGGGTGGCTGGTTTGTAATGGACTGCCCAGCATAAAACCTTATCTCAGGAGGGACAGAAAGAAGCAAAGCCCACCCTGGATGCTCTGAATAAGCACATCGTGTGCAGTGTTGCCTGTTGCCACCTTCTCAAAAGCATAGGGAGTTTGGGTTGGAACTGTTAGGAGTCAGTGCACACTGCCCCATCCTCTCCCCTCTGCCCCTGCATAGCTAATTCCCTCCTAATTCTGATCTGCTGTGTGTGACAGAGACCTGGCTATGGCCAGCCTGCCCTGAAGTGTGCCTGAGGTAACTTTGTCTTTCCTTCCCCAGAAGGAAGAGTTTGCCACCTGGCTTCACCCTGGAAGAGATCTGCATGCTCAGTGAGTGTCATGCATCAGTGCCCCTGGGTGCTCTAATGGTTCATTGCTTGTAGGCTTGGGTTCCCAGCTTCAGGGTGACCCCAAACAGGTGTGCTGCCTGTGGGGCCTTGCAAGAGCACAAGGCACAGGGAAGTGTATTGCTTAAAGGGAGAGAAAGTGAGTGAAACCAAGCTGGTCTTCAGGTAGCTCTGTTTTCTTCTCTAGAGCAGAGAGACCGAGGCAGCACCACAAGCCTGAGCAGTGACTTTTCCCTGGGGATGGAAAGTTCCCCTGGAGCAGCTGGGAGCTTTACCTATGAAGCAGTGGAGCTGATGCCAGCAGGATCACAGGCTCAAGCAGCATGGTGAGGAGATAACCATTTGGTGGGCTGAACAAAGGGGCTGACTCTGGGCCTGATGGAAAAAATATTTCTGCAGTGGCTTGTCCTCCAGGTTTGGTCTCTGTAGCATGGATTCCTTACAGTGAGGGGAGAAAAATTTGACTGTCAGAAGCTTTGCTGCAGTTTGTACTCCAGAGCTTCTGCAACAAAAGTTGGAGGCCACCCCACATTAAAAGGCTATCAGGGTTCTGCAGGGATGCTCCAAAGTTTGTACATAGATGAGAGTAAAGCATATTTGTTTCATTTTCACCAGTTTCACTGTTAAACTTCATCCACAAAGGATTTCATTACTTCTAAAAGATTGTTCCAAACTACCAGAAAAATTACATTTCACAGCAGCCTCCCCAGGGAAAAGTGGAGATGGTTTAGCTGCCCTAAAATGAAGCTTAATCAGAGTTTAGGAAAGACATGATACACGGGGAGTGTCTGCAGTTAGTGGGAGCTGGGCTGGGTGGCCAAGAATTCCCTCTAAATTTTTGCCCCTCTACCAGCATCAGTCATGTGAGCTGAAAGCAGGTTCCTGCCTGCAGCACTGATTAGAGACATTTCCAGGGGAGAATACAGAATTTTCAATACTGCCTCTTGATAGAGGGTCACATAGGACCTGCCTGGGGATGCAGGTGTCTGTCTGTAAGCAGGGAAGGTGTCTGGCAACTCTGCTGCTCTGGGACAGGTTTTGGACTTGCTTGTGGAGTTTCTGGTGCTGTTTGGGGATTTTATATTGCAATTATTTTAAATTAAATCTGGGTTGTGCTGGAGGCATTTGAAGTCGACTGGGACTGAGCTTGCAGCCATGCTAGTGGCAGCAGCCTTTCAAAAGCACATTGTATATTCAATCTAAAGTGCTGAGAAGGGAAAAGAGAATATCTGTGCAGAATCACAAAATGGAGATGGAGAGTCCCAAACTCTTTGCCAAGTGAACAACACGGAGTCCTCTTAACACAGAGAGCCTACCTATCCACATCAAAGTGACTGCATTGAGTAGAGAGCAGCTTTCCACTTGCAGGGCTGCAGGGTAGTGAACTGGAAGCATTTGTGTTGCTCTGAGTGCTCAGGACACACAGACTTGATTCTGCTGCACAGAATCTGTGTGCTTTTTACAAGATGTGAAGTGACCAGAGCATGCTGGAGGAGATAGCTGCACTTGTGTGGATCAGGGCTTGATTTTGCAATTTGCTTCCTAACTCTGGGTTGCTTTTATTTCTGTGGAAGACCTCAGGCTGTGTTGGGGCCAGCAGCTGATCCGCAGGGATGGTTTGGGCCATGCTGGGGGCATGAGCTTGGAAAAGGGGAAGGTTGTGAGCCTTGACATGAGTGCTCAGTGAGAAGACTGGTCACGGGTGCTGTACTACAGGATGTTGTGGCTCTGTAGTCTGGAGAATACATAGGGCTTGCTACAAGCTGCATGAGATGTGCTCTGCATAGCATGAGGGGATGCACTTTGTTGTGTTCCCCTGAAAACAGGTGGCCTCACAGTCTCTGTGCAGGGAGAGGCATTTGATTTTTAGCTGTTCAGACCTGTTTCTGCAAGCTGTACTTGGAGATGTTGGCAGCTATGATAACATGATATGAATAAAGCTTAAGAGAGGCTGTGGTGTGATGTTTGAGGGTGGACACCCTTCAAAAAATGAAGGGAGGATATCACACTTTCCACTGTACAATGAGCCTGTCTTTAGCTGCACTTGCTGACAGTGCTTGAGATCTCAAAGCTGAGATGCCCTTCCATGTTTTAGGAAGAGTAACATCTTTTCCCCTAGAGTTTGTTTGCTTTAGAATTTTTCTTTTTTACTTTTGTACATAGGGAGTCTTTGTCCAATTCAGTGTGATCTTGGAAGGGGAGAAATTATTGGGACTCTTCAGGGAAAAAAACAAAACCAAACAGCAGACATAAGAAGGAAAATCTTCTGAATGTGGAGCAGCAGTGATATGAATTAGTCCCAGATGAGTACTTTTTTGGCATGCAGTTGGATGGTACTGTGAGCTAAGGCCTGATGCAGCAATGGACAGTGAATCATGGCTGAGTCTGAATGTGCTGGCTAGGAAAGAAGCCAGAGCAGTTTGGGCTGTCAGCATAGACAGAGAACTGAAGTGTACCTACATCTGAGTGACTGTCAGCTGTAAGCACATGGTCAGGAGTGTGGTCAGTGGTGCCCAAAGGGAATTGCTTAAAGGGAAGATAACACTGGTGGTGTGTCCCTGCAGCCCTTGGTGCACACGAACGCCCACCTGGGCTGATACACACTGTGGAGTTCCAGCAGATTGAAATGGTCTTTCCCCGCTGGGAGGCCCCTTGCTCAAGGCATTTTTGCTGCTAGACTAAACAAAGCAATTGCTGTGTGTGTGTGGGCTGGTGCATTCTCCCGTCTCTGATTTCCAGGTCACATGGATGGTGATCTATAAAAGAATGGGCAGAGATGGGTTGAGCTCAATGTACCCCCTCCCTGAGCTTTTACCGTGACTCATGGTTCCTTGGGAGGGAAGAGGGCGGGTTCACTGGAAACAAGAGCTTGTAGCTGCTGGGCTAAACTCCAGCCTGTGATGGAAAGGCTTCCTAGTTGGAGTGCATAGAAAAGTCAGCTTTCTCACCCATGTTCTCCATCCCTCAGGAGGAAGAGTTGTGCATCGTCACCGCAAGCCGTGCTCTGGAGCAGAGCACAGCAGTCTGAAGACAGGCTACCTTCCACTGGGATGGTTGAAGTCAAGTCCTCCAGTTCTTCCTCATCAACCCATTCTGATAACTTCCTGAGGATTGGAAGCAGCCCACTAGAAGTGCCCAGATCCAGGTGAGATGGGACGGAGCAGGGCATTTCTCAGCAAAATGAGTGTCTGGTAAAGGGAGTGCAGGGCTGCAGTTGTGTGGCTCTGGAAACATTGAAGCACCTGTGTTTGTGTCTATGGACAAACCTCGAGAGGCCTGTTCCTCTCTTGTCTGGAGTGCTGGCCATTAAACACAGACACTCCTGCCTGAGCCCCTAGAGGAGCGAGGAGCTGTGCTGAAAACAGCCAGCTGTCTTGTGCCTGTCCTCAGTGCATGCCTCATCTGAGCTCTCACATCTCTGCATCCTGCATGCTTCCAGCTCACAGCACTTTCTCTGTCTAACACATCCACCAGGGTTTGAAATGGCTGTGGTGTTTGGGGAAGGAAGCTTTTCAAACCAAGCAGACCTCACTCTGCATCTATCCTGTCCCCCTTTTCACCTGCTGACCCTCCTGATGATGCAGGTTGGAAAAAACTGGGTGCTGGTAGCAAGCAGAGATAGGAAGCTGCTGGGAGCAAGCTTCAAACACTGTGCCAGCATAAAGGATTCTGCCCTGAGTGTTCCTGCTGGGGAATGGGGACCCTGGGCCCAAGCCTAATCTCACAGCATAATAAAGGCACCCTTCTGGAGTCTGACACTGCGATAGGCCAGCGTGGAGCTGTGAGCTGGCCTAGGGAAGAAAGAGCAGAGCCTGTGGAGCAAACACCATGTGTTTAGGCCAACATGGAATAAAGAGACTCTGAGATAAGAGGTTGCCGTTAACAGTGTAATATGCTTGTGTACCCTCTGCAGATTTTCTGATGAGTCTTTTTGTAGTGATTCTGAATCAGCCACTGGCCAAATCTGAGTACTCTCTCATCGTATGGGAGATAAAATGACAAACAAGTAAAACATTGAAAAATTATAAGACTTCCTTAACAAGTGTCTCACGATTCCAGAGAAAAATCCCAGTTTCTGATAGTTTTCATAAATGAGAGTAACTGCTCTCCCCGGGGAAAGATATCAATAGAAGGGGTTGGAATTGTTGCTGGAACCCACCTCTGCATTTTCTCTAAGATGGAAAGAATCTCCCAAGAAGAGAAGAAAATACTGGAAAGAAAACAGCTTGTCTTGGGAGCTGCTTTGTTCACAGTGGTAGTGCCACAATCCCTGTGTGTGGTCCCATGCCATTCCCAAGGTCTGACAAGGCTGTTCAGTGCTTGCTGGTAGCAAGGTTGCAGCAGTGCTCAGGAAGAAGCAGTTTGTGTAAGCCTCAGCCAGACTGCTCTGCAAGAGCAAAGAGGAGAAACAGGAGGAGGCAGAAGAGCACCATACTGAGGGTTAGGGTCAGACATTGTCATGGGCTGCAGTTTCTGGGTTCTAAGTATGGTATTTTTTTTCTGAAAGAGATTCTGTCATTCCACTTAGCCTTTGGTCTCCCTACTTCAGCTGTGGTAGTCTGAATTGGTCTGGTAGATAACACAGTACCTTCAGCCACCATTTTCTACCCTGAAGGAAAAATGGGTCCCATTTTGGCTGGAGGACTGTGATGGAAGGAAGAGGTAAATTCTGTCTCTTTGCCTTCTGAAAAAATGTGATACTCAGATGGAAAAGCAGGAACACAGAGACTGATCAGGATGCCAAAAATACCTTTATTCCTGCAGTGCTGCTGGCAAGTCAACACCCAAGGCTCTTGAGATGAAGAAACCACTGTACTTGACTTCCTAATCCTCTGTGTGGCCATAGCAACAAAACACTTTCCTTAACTTCTGCTGCAGTGGTTAAAATGGTTGCTTGTAAAATGCCAGCAGGTATCTTTCAGGTAGTTCAGGTCAACAGCCCAGTCCAGGTGCTGGCAGGCAGGGGAGCTCTGGAGGGAACAAAAAGGCAGGTCAGCAGGAGACATGAGCAGGGCCTGGGAGGGGGGAACTGGACTGCCTTAAAAGAAGGGGTCACAAATGCCCAGTCAGACCTTAGGAGCCAAGCCCTTCTCCTGAACAGGCAGTGTCAACAGGCTGCTGCTGTCCCTTTATCAGCTCATCTTGGGTACCTTGCTCTGATCCAGAGGTCCTGGGTACTGGTAAATTCGGGGATGGTTCATATTAGGCAAAGCAGTACAAAGGCAGTTCCTATCAGTCTTTCTGGCTTATTTCAACACGATGGTAATATCACATCTGCAAAAGACAAACACACAGGAAGATATTGCATAGACTATTTGCAGAGTAGGACAAGGTGCTGCTTGTTCTACAGAGAGCTCTGAGTATGGCAGTCAACATCTCTCAGATTGAACCCCCTGCATGCGACAGGGTTGCAGTTTGCAAACCTTTTCTTGTATTTGCATTTGACACCAGCAGTCTTAAGTGTCCCATGACACTGCAGAAAAATTCTGTATCTGTGTCAGGGATTTAGCGTGTGTCTACATAGCACTAATGTGGATTAGCAGCTAGATAATCTTTGCTTGAATGTGCTTTTGCTAAGTCAATTAAACAAAACCCAAAGTACTATAATCTAGAGAGTCGAGATCTGGAGGAGTTAAATTGCAGAGGATCTGCTTTGACCAGCAGTCACAGAGAACTCCCTTACTTAAGGGCTGCAGATGGCTGAGCTGTGGGTCTGGAGGGAGCACACTGAGAGCAGAGTGGGACAGAGAAGCTGCTGCCCCTTGGCTTTGGGTGTTTTGTTGGTAGTGAGAAGAGTGTGTGTGCACTGTGTGTCTTGATCTTTACAGCCACCTTGCTCAGAAGGTGTATATGCAATCTGACAGCCTGGGGTAGTGACCACAGCAGGAGAGGAATTGTTTACAGGAATGTTTTCTGGAATTACTGCACGATCGTGCCACAAAATGGGCTTGCTGGCTGGCACATGACTGTGTGCTGCAATCAGAAATGGTGCTCACAGGGAACAGGCTGCTGGGGCACTATCCCAGCCTGTAGATAACTGTCTGGGATTCAGCCAGGGCTCACAGTTCTTGGCAGGGTGCCATACTCCTTGCCAATATTTCCCAAGCAAAGGTGGGAAGGGTTGCCCTTTACTCCAGGTTGCCACAGTCTGCCTGTACATATAGAACCTACTTAATGCTTCAGTTTGAGGCAAAAGCATATGCTGGCAAATGAGCTGCTTCCCAAATAGTCCTAGGTGTGTGAAAATACGTCAGGTGAGCAAGAGCAGCACGGGGCAGGATGGAGCCTAGCTGTTGGCACTTGGCACTCATCTCAGTTACGTGTTGAGAAAGGGAAGGATCCCTAACTGTTGCTCTGCCTCCAGTATTGACTCTTCTCTGGCAGGCAAGTGAGTGTCCATGTGCTCTGAAATACTGTCTTGTGCAGCATGTTGCATGGAAAGCACTGACCTAATTAAAAGGAACCATTCCAGGTTAGGAGCTGCCAGTTTATGGCCTGCGAGAGGTCCCTTCTTGTGTGAAGGAACAGCTTGCAGCTCATCTCTGTTTTGCTAATCTAATTTAGTTAATCTTGCACTTTTGAGGGAGTTTCTTCCCACTCGTGGACCTGAAGAGGTGGGTGTGTGAAGCTCACTTTGATTCTTTTTCTGTCTGCTATTAGATGTCTGTGGCAGAGACAGCGACTTGAAGATTGGCTGTATCTCATCTCCTCTAACCATGTCAGCTTTGCTGTTGTCCGGCTGCTTCCCAACACTCTGTGTTGCCCTCACTCCTAGCCAGCCTCTGGCATGGCTGTCATGTATTGCAGGCATGCTGTTCTTAAAGACTTGGGAACTGGTTCTGATGTCCTGGCAGTTCCAGCTTGTTCCAGGGGCCTCACTGAAGCTCTTTCGAGGTTCTGCAGTAAGACTTTACAATAAATATTCAAGATAGAAATTACAGGAAGACTTTCACCTCTAGCACTGACTGGATTGCATTGGGGTGCAGTCACCCTGGACATCTAGTCTTGATCTGAAGCCAAGCTCAATTTTTAAGAAGCTCTGCTGCCACTGCAGTGAGAACACAAAATTTCCCATGCTGTGTCTTCCCAGGTTTAGCCCCTGCTGTCTCTTGAGGCTGCTCAAGATGCTTATTGATTGTGACATTTCCTCAGGAGCCTCCCTTGAGAAGGCTTTGGGGATAGAGGGGAAGGTCTGCCACAATATCTTAGCTCTGCTGGCCAGGCTCAGATCTCTGGGCCAGGAAAGAAATTACTTAGACTCATTGCAGAGTCCATCAGTTTATTCAATTAATCGACAAGTGTTTGTTTTACTGCCTTGAACTCTTAGACCCCAGCATTGTTGCATTAGATGAAACCTTACTAAGTATGCACAGCTAGTTGACAGGGCTGGGGACCCCAGGAAGGGCTAGAGGACTAGAGAGTCACCAAGTCAGTCTTGCAGGAGATACACTGTGCTTTTATCAGCCTGTCCATGACAGAATTCAAAAGATGACCTGATCCACCTCTAAGAGGTGGTGTAAGATCAGTTTCATCTCAGCTGACAGCCATGGAAGATGACCAGCATTTGGAAGCTGGGGCTACGCACCCAAAGCAAAAAACAATTTTCTGTTCACCTTCTTTAGCACAGACTTACCTGACTGGTGTGGTTGATGACATTGGGCAGAGAGAGATACTTTTGCTGTCCCTGGTGCCCTGGATCACTGTTTGCCATGTGGGCAGTCTCCTGAGTAGGCTCCAGATAATACTGTCCCTTTGCAAGAGCTGCAGAGCTCTGTTCTCTCTGGGGATCCTGCTGTAGTCCAGGCCCTCCTCTGCGTTCACGCTTGCCCTCTCCAAAACCTTTGTTTCTATCTGGCCACAAACCTGTCCTCTGTTCAGCAGCTCATTACTTTTTCTGGCAGAATCCTGTCTCTGCCTACTTTCAGCCCAAGCCTATTGCCTACAGATCTCTTTACTCCTTTAGCTCAATTTTGTGTCACCATGTGTGACACTCCTGTTTTTCCTGTCTGACTGCGCTGTGCTCTCGGGGAGGTGACATCTTCCTCTTCACTCTGCACTGAAGCACTATTCCTCCATGCTTCTCCCTGGCACCCTGCAGTGTTCCCACTGTGATTCCATCATGGCACAGTGCTGTGGGCCCAAACACTCTGCCTGCTCTCCTTCACACTGACTTCCTCCACTTTATCTTCCAAAGGCACGGAGAGAAATAGATGTCACTGAGCAGCAGCTCCACTTCCCTTGCAAATTCCTTGCTTTTCAGGAAAGGTTATCCCTGTCTGATATTCTGAAGGTCTTTCTAACAGTATATGCTTTGCTTTTGCTTTCAGTGAAGTGCCCTCATTCTTACTCGGGCATTGCATACCCCAGGAAAAGCACCATTTTGCAATGCAGGGGTCTCCCAATACTCTGACCCTCACTCCTCAGTTCATTGAGCAGCCAAAGAACAAGATCTGTGTGAGACAGGTGAAGCTCTGCTCTCCCTGATTTCTGCTGTCATGTCCTTTCAGACGCTGAGCTGCCAGACAGGGGTATTAGCCCCAAACTTGCAGCCATGATGGGAGACTGATATGCAGGGAATTGTGTGACTCCCTTTCTTGTGCTTGTACACCCAGCTCAGGACCACATTTAACACTGCTCAAACTTGGCTGTATTGATCAGACTAATTAAATGGCAGGCCTGGAATTAGATCGAGATTGCAAATAGGTTTCCTGCTGTGCATCTCTTCCCACTCTTGCCTTCCAGTCTAGCTCAGGTCCTTCTTGGTGTGGGAGAGCCTGTCTTTGTGGCTGTTCCCTTGGTCCCTTGGGGAGCAGCTGCACTGCGCCACTGCTATTCTTAGCTGTGAAGACAGCGTGCAAGTACCTGGCCCAGCAGAGCTGGAGCGCTGCTCTCTGCCCAGCAGAACTCAGATAAATTATCCAGAAGATCTTGGTAGTGTGTAATTGAGCAGCTCTGCCACAGGCTGTGCTTCCAGCTATGTACACTCTGCTGTGCAGCAAGGCTTAATAATTGCTTGCTCCCTTGGAAGCCAAGAGCTCTGGGTTTGTCTCAAGTGATTGTGCCCTCTTCTCTGAGATTTTGGAGGGACTCCTCAGATTCATTTCCATGTTTCATGCTTCTTTCTTTCCTGGTGGGAGATTGCATACATCAAACAATTATCCTTCCTTGGCTATTTAGCCTGTCCTGAAGATGTTTTGTCACCTTCTTTCTGGCATAGCCCTTTGTTTAATAGGGAGGAGATGTTCGGGTGCTGGGGGTAGGTGTCCTGGGTATGCCTTGAGCCTTGGCTCTGTTCAGATCTGGTGGTAATGGCTCAGGAGTGATCTGCTTTCTAACTGCTGCCAGGACAATGATCTGTAAGTCTTTCCCAGCACTAACCAAGTCACAGCCTTGATTTGCCCTGCTGCCCTGGAATGTGCTAACAGCTACAACAAGCAACAAGGGGAATGTCCCTTGTACCACACAGGTTTCACATCTGTGAAGGACTCAGGGCAGGATGTGCTGTTCCATCTCACTAATGGGTTTCTCAGTTTTGCATGGCCATCTGCTTCATGCTGGCTCTCTCCTGTCCAGCTCCTGGTGTGCTCCTGCTGCTTTGTTGGCCCCAGCCAGCTTGGCTCTCCCTTCACTTTCAAAGGAAAGGCTTGGTCTGGGGCCCAGCTCGAGCTGCATGTTGCACCCTGGTTCCTGTGTGTCAACAGTGCTGGCACAGGCGCTGCTGGCTGCCCGCCTGGCAGGTCCCTGGCAGCAGCAGCAGTGAAAAGCACGTGGCTGAATGATCTGACTGATGGCGCCGTCTCCCTCTCTCTCTGCCCCAGATCGGCGGACCATTCTCTGCCCGGATCTTCCGTTTCCACAGACTTTGGCAGCTGGCAGATGGTGACAGGGTGTGGCAGTATTCGGGAGCAGGCAATCCTGAACGCAGACGCCTCTCTCCCTTGCAGCTTCCCGGATGAGTTCTCTAACACTTGCCTGTAAGTGTCTTAAATGCAGGATCTCTCCTTGGGTCTCTCGGCTGCCTGCGAGCGCTGCAACTTTATCACTCTGGCACTTTCGGAGAGGCCTGGGAGCCCAAAACAAACTGTTCCATCTTCTCTGCCTCGATGTTTTCTATCCACAAACTCAGTCCCTGAGCACTCTTTGCTTATGCTGAACACAGAAAGAAAACAGCACTTTCTCTGCCTAATGACGGGGGAGCTCTTTGCTTTCTGTAGGAAGAAGAGGTTTTTGTCTCTTCCTCGAAGATGCTGAATTTGGGCATAATTGAGTGCAGTTGAGGATTCGTGTTTGTCAGGACAGGACTGCTAACCCAGATTTCTTGGTTTTCAATTTTGCTCACCTACTGGCGTCAGATTCTTGCTGGAGTAAGAGAAGTACTTTCCTTCTGTAACCCAAATTTTGTCTGGGCTTGTGCAGCATCACTTGCAGGTGCTGTGCCTGGCCAGTGCAGAGCCACAGAGACCCTGTGTCCTGCCACATCCTGCCATGTGAAATGGCTGGGAGGCAAATGTTTGTCCCCAAATAGAAATCCACTTCTGGAAGCTTGAAAGACTGGAGATGCTCTTTAATTGCTGTTAGAGGAGAGCCTTGGTTTGTGCCTTCAGGCTGCAAACTCTTCATCAAGAAACTGAAATGGCATATCAGGGTCTGCTGCTAGCAAGCAATGCTAGAGCTGTGCTGCCAGATGCTCAGTCCCTTACTGAGATCTGAGTACGTGCTTTGGAGCAGAGGGCAAGCAGCATGAAAACCCCTGTCTCCTGTGAGACAGGCTGCCTGCCCTGACTCTGTGTGGCTGCGTGCTGTGCTGCTGAGCAGAGCAGAGCAGCTGCCTTCAACTTACAGTGAAGCTACAAGATCCATGAATTGACAAATCGAAACATTGCAAGAAGTGTTGGACGTGGCCTGGCCAGGATTTGTTCTTCTCCTTTCCTGAGGACACAGTGAGCTGCTCCTGCAGTAGTTTGGAGATGGGCAAGAGAGAAGGAACTGAAGGATGGGCATCTGCGTAGTGACTGCTTTACTGTGTCCTGAGTCTGGCTGTGCTTGGTCACTGCTGATCACCAACAAGTTGTTGCTGCCCTTGTAGTTGGTTTTAATGTCAGAATAGGGAATTCAGTAGAGAAACGTGAATCAAAGTTGATAGGCCTTAGGCTTATGCAGTTTGGAGAGTGACTGCTTGGGGCAGTGGATTCAGAAGGAGGAGAACAGTGGTGGTGCTTCTCCTGTGGATGCTCTGCTCTCTTCAGCTATTCACTAAAGCTGTGGGTTGCTTGAAGGCTGGGAGCTGCTCAACTGAAACTGCCGGGACCAGGCACTGCATTGAAAGGATGAAGAGTTCCCAGCGGTGTTGTGTTATCTTAACCCAGAGGCTCTACCCTCTCTCTGTTCTGCATCAGCCTTGTTTGTTCAGGACTCCATTGTGGATTTATCCCAGTTTTTGCAGCCTGACACAGTATGATTTTTTTTTCCTTTTAATTCCATTTAAGTTCCCACTTTGCATCTTCACTGGCAGCAGCTCGATGAAGGTATGCTTTTCACAGCCTACTTCTTGTGCTTGTGTGGGGCTTGTCAGGGCTTACTTCGAGCTGGGGCTTTGACAGCCTCCTCTCATCCCGCACCCTGAGCTGCAGGCAAGCGGGCAGGCTGTAGGAAGTGTAGCAGGGCAGAGTGCCGTGGATTTGGCGAGGCAGCGTGACCTGCCTCCGCGGTGAACAGTTCAGGGTGAAATGCTGCAGCCAGTCTGCAGGCCTTGGTGTGGAGCAGTGGCTGGCTGCTTGACCCTGTGCCTTGGCGTGTCTCACCCCACAAAACAAACCGAAAAACCCAAATACAAAATCTGCTTTATAAAGAGGTGTGAGAGCCACAAGACATGGGACCTAACTGCTGCACGCCCTCGCTTACCTCTGTGCGTGACATCTGAGATCGCTGTACTCGGGTGCAAGTAAGTCCTGCCTTCACGGAGTTTATTTTAAATGCTAGCAGGTTTGTGAGTTCCATGTCCTAATTAGGTTGCCAAAAAGTATCACTAATGTGTTTAGATATGTTGTTGCCTTTTTTTGCCCTCTGGCTTCTCTTTATTATCAGACACAGTAAACAGCGGCCTGGTTGGCTGCCTTGGCATCGCTTGCTGTTTATAGGCCTCCCACCATATCCTCTTGCTGCTGTTTCCGGACCGAAGCTGTTGGCTGTGGGTGGTTAACACTTCCATTCAAATGAGCTGTGCCAATTTATAGCCAGCCCAGGCACTGGAAGATTAAAGAGAATTTTTTATGGGGAAGGTTCGCACTGTGCCCTTGGAGTGACCTTTGAGGAATGTCTTAATCTCTCTGGGAACCACTGGCACATCGCAGAGGCACCACAGCAAGGATCATTTGAGGCTGGAGAGCTTGGAACAGCTGCCTCTGGGCCCCAGTGTTGATTTCCCTTGCTCCCTCGGCTAGTCTTGCCTTCCTTCTGCTGTTTTCCCCCTGCCCCTAACCAGTGTGTGGATCAGCAGGAGAGGAGAGCAGGTCCCATGGGAAGTCATGCCCTACTCTGTTCCTGTTTGCCGAGAGCAGCCATGCTGGGGAGCAGAAGTAAAGCACTGCTCAGCTGTCCTGTTACTATGGCTGGAGTGTTCCTTGGGGCTTTTGTCACCTTGTCTGCTCCTTCTCATCCCCCCCTTCCCCAGCTGTCTGTGCTGGCACAGGCACGTGAGGCCGAGGCTGGGGCTGGCAGAAGTGAGGGATGTTTGCAAATAGGTTGGAAGCAACTGTCCAGGCACAGCACATGTGGACAGGCTTCATCTGTGTGAGGAGGGGAGGGAGCTGGTGTAGGGTCTGATGTCAGCAACCACTTTGCCAAAGCACCACTTGGTTTATTAATTGCAGCCTTATGAGCACTATGGTGGTGGGAGAAACGGGGGACAGTGGGGTGTGTGAAGGAGGAAACCCCATGGGGAGCAAGAGACCGAGGCTGCAGCTGGCTCTGTGGGTTGGATGAGGAGGCAGTGGCACCAGCTGCCAGCAGCTCCGTGGACGGAGCCTTTTCAGGCTTGCACTGCCTCAGCCACTGCAGCCCGTTGAGCACCACAGCCCCGTGTCAGGAGCGAGAGCTGGGATGTGGAGAGGGATGGCTGCAGTCACTGACCTCCACTTCTCTCTCCTAGACTGGTGTCAGCGAGTGACCGTGAGTCTCGTCTGGAGGAAGTGCGTTCTGCCTTTCTGGCAAGCTACAGCCGGACCATCGGCCTAAAGGCCGTGCCCCCCAACCCCTCAGGGGCCATCGGTGGCCTCCTCGAGCAGTTTGTGCGGGGCGTGGGACTGAGAGGCAGCAGCACCCTCTGAACACGGCGTTCCCAGACCACTGCCTGGAAAACTGGGGCTGGCGCGTCCCCCAGCAGAGTCCTGGGACCCTCTTCTTGGTGCGGGCACCTGCTGCACCCAGCGCCTGCCGCCTACCCCCCTGCCTGGGGTGGGGGGTGAGGGGGCTCCGGCGAGTCTCTGCAGTAAATGACCCGAGCTGTGCCCTCTCCTGCCTCCTCTGTGGGCTGCGGGCGGGGGCGGCGTGGGGGAGCCGCGCTGCCGGGCGCGCCGCTCACTATAAATAGCCCGGCCCACTCTTCGCAAGCGTCGGCACCGAAATAACACCGAGCCGAACCCGGGAGGAAGCCGCCGGCGGGGCGGGATAGGGCTGAGCCCCCTGTGCCCCCGACTGGAAATCGCGGGCGGGACGTTCCGGTGGAGCCGAGCCCCAGGAGCCGAACACCTTGGTGCCCCGGTTGGTGCCATCGCTGCCGGCAGGGAAGGGCCGTCGTGCTCGAGATGTGCTGAGCCGTGCCTGTGCCGAGCCGCGCCGTGCCCGTGCCGTACCCGCCCCCGGGCGCGCCTCCTCGGCGGCGCGGGAGGAGGCGGCGCGGAGCATCGGCGGCGCCCGGGCGGGGATGGCGGCTCCGGGAGCGCTGGAGCCGGCGGCCGGCAGCGTGCCGGGCACCAAGGTGGAGCTCACCGTGTCCTGCCGGTGAGCCGGGAGCCGGGCGAGGGAGCGGGAGGGCGGCGGCTAGTCCGTGGGCACGGGTGGGTGCGAAGCGCACCGGGATACGCTGCGGGGCTGCTCGTTGCGTCCCGCTGCCCGCCGCTCAGCCCCTGGCTCGAGGCGATGTGAGCTGCGCGTTCTCCTCTCTCCCCGGGTAGCTCTCGGTGCCAGGGCGTATGCCCAATGTCCCTCTACCCTGCTGCTACCCGTCCCGTCCCCTTCCTGGGGTCCCATGGGATGCTGTCACCGGGCACGGCTGCGTGAAGCGACCCGATGCCCTCACCCGCGGCTGGGGGGCGGACGGCCCCTCGCGGGGCAATGTTTGTGGGAAGTGGGAGATGCCGGCGGGACGCGGGATGCCGGCACTGACTGCGAGCTCTGTGCAAGGCACTGGGACCGGGAACGTGGAAACGGGATGGGGGCTGCGGGAGAGGGGCTGCTCTGTGCCCCAGGTTCTGGCCAGGGTCTGCCGATCAAGCGGCGGCGGCTGAGCCGGTCTGCCGGCGGCTAAATATAGCCCGTCGGAGGCACCGCTGCTTGCGGCCAGGGGTCCCGCTGGCAGGGACAGGTACCAGCATCCTACTGAGGGCTAGCGTCGCCGTGCTGTGGTCCTGTGGCACGGAGCGCCCCGACCAGGGTGGGTACCTCCAGCACATCCACGAGCTATGCAAACTCTGGGGCGGGCCGGGCACTGTTGTGCCCTCCCCGCGGTTGAGCCCTGGCTGGCCCCCGCTGCCAGCTTCCCTCGCAGCAGGCAGAAGGGCTGTGGGGCCACGGGACCGGCAGCTCCAGGCAGGGACCGGGGGTCAGACCTGGAGACAGCCCAGGGCAGCCTTCGGCTTCGCAGCCCCAGGATCCAGCGCAGAACAGAGTGAGGTTTCTCTCCTGCGTGCTGAGGCCAGGGAAGCTGGCTTAGCCCCGCAGCCCCCGGCCGTGTCCCAGCCCACCCTGTGCTGCCACCCCGGGGGTGCGGGAAGTATCCCAGCAGAGCCGGTAGCATCCCCCGGCACTTCCCGGTGTCACACCGCGCACAGGACGACGATCAATCGCTCTGCCGGTAGGTGTGTCGGGGGATGCCCACTGGCTGCTCAGCCCCTGCTCCAAGTGTCTCCTTTCTTCTCACTTCTGCACCCTGCCATTAGCCAAGCTCCTGCTGCCGGGGCGCCGGCGGCACCGGGGAAGGTTTCATCCTGTAAATGGGTTCCCTGTCATGTTCAATCATCATCAGCGCTGGAGACGCTGCTCGCCGCTTGCTCTGCTGCCCCACCGAACCTTGCAGAGGGAGCCAGCGTGTCTCCTTGGGTGTGCCGATGCTCCTTTCCATGGGTGTCAGCACGGCCTTCTGGCACGCTGCTGACCTATGATCAGGGGGATGGACATGGGGACCCGTTGATGGGCCAGGTGAGTGGCGCTCAGGGTGGCTCACACCTGGCTCTTCCCACAGGAACCTGCTGGACATGGACACCTTCTCCAAGTCCGACCCAGGTGGGTGGCGGAGCCGGGTGGGGGCATGGCATGGCAGACACGGCACGGCAGCCTGGCTCTGCTCCTCTCTCCGCAGTGGTGGTCCTCTTTGTGCAGGTCTCAGGGAGCAGCGAGTGGAAGGAGGTGAGCGTGGTCCCCTCTCCTGGCTAATCCCCGGCTGGGTTAAATGGGCCCATATGGCCACCCGTGTCCACGCTAATGATCCCTCCCCATCCATGCTAATGATCCGGCCCCGCCAGCAGCGCTAATCCCGCACCGGGATTAGCGCCGAGGCAGCTGTGATGGGGACGGGTCCTGGGGGGGGCCACCCTCACCTCTCTCCCTGCAGTTCGGACGCACCGAGGTGATCGACAACACCCTGAACCCCGACTTTGTCCGCAAGTTCGTCCTCGACTACTACTTCGAGGAGAAGCAAAACCTCCGCTTCGATGTGTGAGTAGGGTGACCAGGGAATGGCTTGGCCCCGCTGAGGGTGGAACAAAGCACCGAGTCAGTAATGAATAAGGATAATAAATAAGAATACAGCATCGCATAGGATGGGTGGGGAAGCGGGGCTGTGTGCTGGAGCATCCCTGCAGGCACCAGCTCAGGGCTCTGCTCTCCCACACCAGATACAACATGGACTCCAAGAGCTGCTCCGCTTTAAAACAGGTGAGCACCGCCTGTGCTGGGGGACACATAGTTACACCATGGTGGGACACCCCGAGACTGTGCCCTGTGTGGGTGCTGTTGGGGGGGGGGACAAGTGCCCCTCAGAGGGCTCTAACCTGCTCTCCATCTCTCCATGCCCCATGGGGACTCACAGAAGGTACGTGCCTGCCACACACCAGCCCCTGCTCTGCCCTGGGAACCCTGAACCTGGGAGTGCCTGGTGGGGCAGGATGGGGCCAGAACACTTCATAGGGTTGGTTTTTGCGGGGTAAGATGGGTCTAGGGTGGCCCAAGGGGTCCAGGACAGGTCAGGGCATGGAGGGCAGTTTGTGGGGAGACACAGGATAGGTCCAGGGATGTGGGCTGGCCCTGGGGGCACAGAATGAGTGTAAGGCACATGGAGCAGGCACCTGGGGTAGTCCTGGGGATGCACAATGGGTCCTGGGCTCTTGGGTCACAATGTAGGTTCAGGAAACTTGGGGTGGTCCAGAGTTAAGTTGGTGGCAGGTCCCATGGGTGCATTGGGAGAGAATGGGTTGGTGGGTGTGGGTGGTGGGGGACTGGGGTAACTGCACTCCATGGTCTCACAGTGCTTTTTTTGGAGCACAGGACTTCCTGGGGCAGGCATTTGTGGCACTGGGAGAGGTGATTGGGTCCCAGCGGGGGCGCCTGGAGAGACCCCTAACGTGAGTCACACCCTGTGGTAAGGTGAGGGGGGAGGGTCCCACACTGTGTCCCCACCACCTGCTCCACTGGACCCCTCCCTGCATGTCCTGTGCTGGGGATTCTGGTCACACTGCCAAGCACCACAGCTGTGAGACAGAAGCCCCAACCCTAACCTCTCTTCTTGTCCCTGAACTGTTGTCCTTGTCCCCAAGCTGACTGTGTGCCTCTGGTTCCAGGGGTGTCCCAGGGAAGCGGTGTGGAACTATCCTGCTACTGGCTGAGGAGCTGAGCAACTGCCGGGTGAGTACCTGTGTACCAGCTGCAGTGTGGAGAGGACTGCATGGTCCCTCAGTACAGAAGCTGCTGGTGGCAGGGGTGAGGAGGTGTCTGGCAGTGACAGTCCCTGTCCCCAGGACATTGTCACAATGCAGCTGTGTGCCAACAAGCTGGATAAGAAGGACTTCTTTGGAAAATCCGATCCTTTCCTCGTCTTCTATCGTAGCAATGAGGATGGCACGTGAGCACAGGGACCCAGTGGGGCAGACAGGGTGCCAACGTCACCAGACGGCGTGGCCCAACCCTGCCCTGTCCCCCCAGCTTTACAATTTGCCATAAGACAGAGGTGGTGAAGAACACACTCAACCCGGTGTGGCAGCCCTTCACCATCCCCGTGCGTGCCCTCTGCAATGGCGACTACGACCGGTACAGGAATGGGGATGGGGACAGGGACACGGGCAGCCATGGGGCCAGAGCAGGGTATGAGCAGTTCTTTGTGGGCTTGGCCCTGCAGCAGCAGGCAGCTCAGAATTGGGTCCCGATTGGGTTTTTTCTCTTTTGCAACCCAAATTACATAAAGGCATCCCCCTCCTTTCCAGGCCCCCACCATGACCCAAATTTCCAGCTCCCTCCTGGCAGAGCCTCAGGCTGGGCAGGCAGGGCGGCTCTACTGGAAGTTGGTGGGCAGGGTGCTCACTGCGGGTTGGGCTGTGGGCATGGGTGTCCCTGAATGAGGGGCTGGAGGGGCCGTGCCAGCCTGGCAGGTGGCTCACCCACTATGTGCCTTCACTTTCAGGACGGTGAAGATAGATGTGTACGACTGGGACCGGGATGGGAGGTGAGGGAAGGGACACTTGGCTGCTGCTGAAGCTTCCCAGGGCACTTCTCACCCAGTTGTCTGGCCATCCTGACCCTGTGTTCCTCCTGCAGCCACGACTTCATTGGGGAATTCGCCACCAGCTACCGGGAGCTCTCTCGAGCACAGAGTCAGTTCACAGTGTATGAGGTAGGGTGGTGCGTCAGGGTGAGGGCAGGGTGCACTCCGTGCTGGGACTGACTCACCCCTGTGCCTGCAGGTGCTGAATCCCAGGAAGAAATGCAAGAAGAAGAAATATGTGAATTCTGGCACTGTGAGTGGGGCTGGGGAGTTCCTGGGCCTCCTGTCTTCCAGGGGATGGTGCGGCTCCACCTGCTGTGTGTGCCAGGTTCAGGGGGCTCCAGATCTGATCCCCTGTGCCCACAGGTGACACTGCTCTCCTTCTCTGTTGAGTCTGAGTTCACCTTCGTTGACTACATACGGGGCGGGTGAGTGGGGGGCTGGGAGCCCTCTGGCTCCTCGAGATCCCCCATGGCTGAGAGGCCCGGGGCAAGGACGGTGGTGACAGTGAAGGTTCAGCCTGGGGGTGACAAGGGGGCAGTGGGGCTGGGAAGTAGATGCAGAACGGTGGTGTGGGGCTGTGGGGTGCTGGCTGGGGAAGGGGGGCCGAGGCAATGGGTCTGGGCAGGGAAACACTGGCACTGTGGGGCTGGGAGATGGTATCCCTGTGCCGTGGGGCCGGCAGCCTCCCTCACTCTCCCCCTTAAGGACGCAGCTGAATTTCACTGTTGCCATTGACTTCACGGCCTCCAATGGTGAGTGCACCTGGTGTCTGGGGGGTTCCTATCACCGTGGGGCTGGCTATGGGGCAGGTGTGATGGGCACTGTGCTGCAGGGTTGCCATCACAGCCCACCTCACTGCACTACGCGAGCCCCTACCAGCTGAGCGCCTATGCCCTGGCACTGAAGGCAGTGGGGGAAATCATCCAGGACTACGACAGCGACAAGCTCTTCCCTGCCTACGGCTTTGGTGCCAAAGTCCCACCTGACGGCAAGATCTCCCACCAGTTTCCTCTGGTGCGCCCTCCCTGTGGGACAGGGCTGAGACTGAACCCAGACCCTCTGGCTGTGGGGCAGAGCTGGTCTTACGGGTGCCCACAGCACCTTGGTGGGGAGGGGAAGCACCCTGGCAATATTCTGCCCCAGTGTCCCACAGCCTGGGGCACACCAGGAGTTGTGGTCCCCCTCCAAGTGCCCCATCTCTGTCCCTCAGAACAACAATGTGGAGAACCCCAGCTGTGCCGGCATTGAAGGCGTACTGGAGTCCTACCTCCAAAGCCTACGCACTGTCCAGCTCTATGGTCCTACCAACTTTGCTCCTGTCATCAACCAGGTGGCTGGGTGAGCACTGGGGCACTGTCCCCTTTGCCATCCCCAAATGCCATTTGTCCCACAGCAGGGTCGACTGCCTCACACCAGTGGGGTGCTTGAGGGAGCCCATCCCTTTCCCCCTTAGGATAGCTGCCCAGGTGACCGATGGTTCACAATACCACGTCCTCCTCATCATCACTGATGGTGTCATCTCTGACATGCTGCAGACCAAGGAAGCCATTGTCACTGTGAGCACAACCTTGTTGCTCTGAGTTCACCTCACGTGGACACTATCCTGGCTGACACCCTGCCTCTGCTCCACAGGCTTCCTCTCTGCCCATGTCCATCATCATTGTGGGAGTAGGTCCAGCTGAGTTTGAGGGTGAGTTGGGACTTGGGGACACCAGGGAATTGGGATGGAAACATTGTCCCTTCCTCTGGGATGCCAAAGGCATCCAAAGGGCTGGTGTTTCCATCCCCGGTGTTCATCCCACCGAGGCTTGGTGACACCAGCTGTCACCCCCAGCCATGGAGGAGCTGGACGGTGATGAGGTACGGTTGTCTTCCCGGGGACGGTATGCTGAGAGGGACATTGTACAGGTAACTCTGGCATTGAATCCAGACCTGCCATGGGTGAGAGATGCTCAGTTCCCCCTTGCTGAACCCCACAGCAATAGAGTTGTTTCCAACCTGACTGCAAACTTCTTGTCCTCAGTTTGTGCCGTTTCGGGACTATGTGGATGACTCGGGCAACCAGGTGCTGAGCATGGCCCGCCTGGCCAAGGACGTGCTGGCTGAGATCCCTGAGCAGCTGCTCTCTTACATGAAGACCCGCGACATCAAGCCACGCCGGGCAGATCCCGAGTAGCTCTTCCATGAGCCATGGGACTGACTGGTGGGGCGACGATATGTTGTTACCTTTTTTCTGCCGGTGGCCAGGGCTTAACCATGGAGATGTGGCCCCTTTAGGGAGATAATCAGCTGCTATGGTTGGTCAAAACAGGGCTGGGACCCGCTTCTGGCAGTGAGACCACAGGGCTGGACATCCTCGGCTGTCCCTTCCTCCTGCCCGATGTCCAGGAGTAAGGCGGGACTGTCCCTGGACCGCGGCAGTGCGGGCAGGGCCAGCGCCGGGGAACACGGTGTGTGTGTCCCGGGAGAGCAGCCTGGCGTCTGCCCCAGGGGAAGGCTGAGTGCCTGCCGGGGGTCTCGGCGGCCTTGCCCTGCTCCTGCCTGCACCCCATTCCTGCCTGCACCCCGCTCCTGCCTGTGCCCTGTCCTCCGGCTCTGCTAACCGGGCTGGCCGGCCTGCCCCGTGCCCGCCGCACGGCGGGGCTCCCGCCACCGGGGGTGCCGGCGCGGAGGGCGGGCGGGTCTCTGCTGCGTTACCGACTGTAAATAAACTGCTCAACCGGGTCTGCCGCCGTGCTGGGGCAGGGGGAGCGGGGAGAGCAAGGGGGACGGGGAGGACCGGTGGGGCGGGGGTGGCCAGGGGGCCGAAGGTACCGCGGGGCGTGTTGCCGGGCCGGGGGAACCGGGAGGATCTTGAAAACTGGGGTGATCTGGGGGACCGAGGGGTCCGGAGGGCCCGGGAGGAGCGAAGGGGTGAGGGGGGCGAGGGGGCCGGCTTGGGGCGGGGCCGGGCTGCGGCAGCGGGGTGTGTGATTCGAGGCGGCAGATTCGCCACCGTCATCCCGGCGCGACCCGGCCCGGCCCCGCCGTTCCCACGTGGCCTCCCCGCCCCGTCGCTGCCGGTGCCGCCGCCGCCTTCGCCGTTCCCTCCGTCCTCGCTGCCGCCGGTCCCGCCCGGCGCCGCTGCCCGGCGGTGCCGTGGCGAAAGTGCGGTTGCTAAGGGCGGCGCGGCGCTTTACCCAGCGGCCGCCCCGCGCCAGGCGCCGCCGCAGCTCCATTGTTGGGGCCGGCCCGGGCCCGCCGCCGCCGCCGCCGCCGCCGCCGCCCATGGAGCCGCCCGCCCGCTGAGCGCGGCCCCGCGCCGGGGAGCGCCGCCGCAGGGAAGGAGCGGGCAGCGGGGAGCCAGGGCAGGGCGGCCGGGGCCCGGGGAGGGGGCGGGGGGCCCGGCCCGGCCCGGCCTCGGCCCCCCGCGGCCCCGCCATGGGCGTAGACTTCGACGTGAAGACCTTCTGCCACAACCTGCGGGCCACCAAGCCGCCCTACGAGTGCCCGGTGGGCACCTGCCGCAAGATCTACAAGAGCTACAGCGGGATCGAGTACCACCTGTACCACTATGACCACGACAACCCGCCCCTGCCCCAGCACACCCCCCTGCGCAAGCACAAGAAGAAGGGGCGCCAGGCCCGCGCCGCCAACAAGCAGTCGCCCAGCCCCTCCGAGACCTCCCAGTCGCCCGGCCGGGAGGTGATGACCTACGCCCAGGCCCAGCGCATGGTCGAGGTGGACCTGCACGGCCGCGTCCACCGCATCAGCATCTTCGATAATCTCGACGTGGTGTCCGAGGATGAGGATGTTCCCGAAGAGGTGCCCGAGAATGGGAGCAATAAGGAGAACACGGAGACGCAGAGCGTCCCGCCCAAATCTGGGAAGCACAAGAACAAGGAGAAGCGCAAGGACTCCAACCACCATCACCACAACGCCTCGGCCAGCACTACCCCCAAGCTGCCCGAGGTGGTGTACCGAGAGCTGGAGCAGGACACTCCTGATGCCCCGCCTCGTCCCACCTCGTACTACAGGTATTGTCGTGGCTGGGTGCGAGGAGACTCCTAGGCTCGTGGCCTGGGTTTGGAGGCGGAATTAGCCCCACTGTCTTCAAGTGGCTTGCCCATGGCTCCTGGAAATGGCCTCTCTCTGCCTCTCCCAGGTCTCACAGAACTGGCTGTTCCATGGCTTCAGGCTCCTGGGGCTCTGTCTGGTGTCACATCACGGTTCTGAGGAGTCTGTGCATCTACAGAGCTCTCAGCTGCTGCTTAGGTCATTGCCAGCATTGCTGTGCTCTTTCCTTGCTGGAACAGCACCTAAAATCAAAACAAAACCCAAATGTGTCCTTTTGCCTCTCATTCTCTCTTCGGAGGTGTGCTGAGATCTTTTCAGAGCCCTTCAGCACCAAGGTGTACCTGGAGGATCTGTTTGTGGGCATACTTCTTAATTGTTTTCTTACAGTACTTTGTGAGCTATTTGGTGGATGCACTGGCCCCAGTTAATACCTCAGGCAGGAGTTAATAGAGTCCCCTAACCAGAATTAATGAAACAGGGTGCCTCCATGCATAGTTATCATGTCTTGGTTGTGAGTTTGTTGCCTCCAGAGCACTGGCACTTGCTGGGTGGCCCATGCAGGCCCCCTGCTTGCACTGATGAGTCTCCAAGGACTGACCTTGCTCCGTAGACTAGTGTTGTTTTGTCTCCAAGCTGCTGTTGTTCTGTTGTGCTAGTCAGGGTACAGCAGCACCTCCTGCTTCTGCACATTCCTGCCTTGTTCCTGTTTCTTTATTTTGACTTATGGCTCAGCTGGAGCTTTTGAACATTCCCTCAGTCACAGACAAATCCTGGAGTTGGGTCTCAGCAGCTCCAAGCGTGTCAAACATGCCCTTACTTTCCCATGCTGTCCCTTCCAGGTACATTGAGAAGTCGGCAGAGGAGCTGGATGAGGAGGTGGAGTATGACATGGATGAGGAGGATTACATCTGGCTGGACATCATGAACGAGAGGCGGAAGAACGAAGGTGTGAGTCCTATTCCCCAGGAGATCTTTGAGTACCTGATGGACCGGCTAGAGAAGGAGTCCTACTTCGAGAGCCACAACAAGGGGGACCCAAACGCCTTGGTGGATGAAGATGCCGTCTGCTGCATCTGCAACGACGGGGAGTGTCAGAACAGCAACGTCATCCTCTTCTGCGACATGTGCAACCTGGCTGTGCACCAGGAGTGCTATGGGGTGCCCTACATCCCCGAGGGACAGTGGCTCTGCAGACGGTGCCTGCAGTCACCCTCGCGCGCTGTGGACTGCGCCCTCTGCCCAAACAAGGGGGGGGCCTTCAAGCAGACGGACGATGGGCGCTGGGCACATGTGGTCTGTGCCCTCTGGATCCCCGAGGTGTGCTTTGCCAACACCGTCTTCCTGGAGCCCATCGACAGCATCGAGCACATCCCGCCCGCACGCTGGAAGCTGACCTGTTACATTTGCAAGCAGCGTGGCTCTGGGGCTTGCATCCAGTGTCACAAAGCCAATTGCTACACTGCCTTCCACGTCACCTGTGCCCAGCAGGCCGGGCTGTACATGAAGATGGAGCCCGTCAGGGAGACGGGTGCCAACGGTACCTCCTTCAGCGTGCGCAAAACCGCCTACTGCGACATCCACACACCGCCAGGTTCCGTGCGCAGGCTTCCTGCCCTCTCCCACAGTGAGGGGGAAGAGGAGGATGAGGAGGAAGAGGAGGAGGGGAAGGGCTGGAGTTCTGAGAAAGTCAAGAAAGCAAAGGCCAAGTCTAGGATCAAGATGAAGAAGGCGCGGAAGATCTTGGCGGAGAAACGAGCTGCAGCACCTGTGGTTTCCGTGCCCTGCATCCCTCCTCACAGGTACAACCTGCTTCCCTCCCTGGACTTGGGAGAAATTTCTCCTTTCCTCTGTGCTTTGTGTCCTGCTTTCCATGTGGGCATTATCCTATTCCCCTCCTTAGCTTTTTGAAGAGGTGCTTCTCACTTTGTTGCTGCAGAGGGCTGTGGTAGCTTCCTCTGGGAGTCCTGCAGAGAGGCAGGGCCATGCACTGCCCCGCAAAGGTGTCTGGGCCCTTGGCAGGGCAGGAAATAGCTGCTGTTAGTTTAACAGTAGAGAATGAACTTGGCCTGATGCATCAGGAAGCAGCTGGAGGTTCCCAGCACTCCTTTCCTGTTGTGCTGACCTCAGGCACTGGAGTAAACGAAGCAGGGAGGAGGGAACTGCTCTCCTTTCTGCTGAGGTCTGTTTTCTCCTGAGGCTGTGTCAGGCAAAAGACAGAAGTGTGGGAGTGATTCAGGCCTGGGAAGCGGGCTAATCCCAGTGTTATTTTGCCTCTGGAGCAGAGAGGTCTGGAGTCGGGATCCCTGTGCTCTGCTGAGCAGAGCTCATCCATCCCAGCAGCCATGTACTCCTTGCCGGGCTTCCTCAGTGCTCTCTGCCAGGCACAGCAGCAGCTGCTCCTTCTTGGCGCTGCCTGCTGGAGCAGGGCCGGGCAGCCACGGGTGCTGAAAGCTGTCTGTGAGGAGGGGTGGCTGGAGAGCACCCGGACTCCTGCCTGCCAAGGGCCCAGACACCTTTGCGGGGCAAATGTTTCCGTGCCCAACCTGTGGTTTTATGGGAAGGTGCAAACACTCTGTAGTTACAGTTGCAACTGCTTTGTGCCTTCCTCTTATTGGCTTGTTGGGCTGGCATGCAAATCCCAAAACACCTAAAAGCCTTGCCAGAATTCGTCAGTGTAGTTTATAGCTCTGGATGTCCTCAGCAGCATGTAAAAGCACATCAGGGCATTCTAGGATGTTTTTGGATGTCACTGTCACCCTGCAGCAGGCACCACCCAGTTGAGCACACGTTGGGCACGGAAACATTTGCCTTTGTGGTGGTCAGCCACCAATCCTGAGCTGCTGAGCTCTTCTCCTTCCTGTAGCAGAAGTTGTGCTGGGACTGTGACCACAGAGCACTGTCAAGACCCTCGGACCCTCAAAACTTATCTCATGTGTACTTGGATAGGAGCACCTGGAAGCCATGGGCTATGCTCTCTGGGCAGCATTCTGGTGACTTGGGGAGGCAGGTCTGCCACAAGGCTGCTGGCTTTTTACCATGGTCTGTTTGTGTCCCAAACTTATGTTTTAGCTCACTCAGGACTTGCTCCATAGCAAGAGTCTCTTTTCTTACGTATAGACATGTTGGCAGGCAGTTTGTAGGGTCTTGCTGTTATTGCATTCAACAGCGAAACCTACACTGAGCTAGAAGGTGTTAACCTCTCCCCAGGCCTCCCTGTTGGGATTAATTATTCTTCAGGGGCTGTTGCCAGAATGCCACATGTCTTCCTGTGGGAGCTGTGCTTGGCCAGTGATGGCATATGAGGCTGCTGTCCCCAGTCTCTTCAGCTGAGGCTGATGCAGATTGGGTCATCCCTTGGGAAAAGCTGTCCCTGGGAGGTGTGGAGATGCTGAGAGTTCATGCCTGTCTCTCTACTAGCAGAGCATCTCTGTCTAACTCTGCTGAACAAGGCTGTCCCAGCCCCTCCAGACTATCTGCTGTTGTAGGAAGTAAGCAATCCCTTTTGTGGTGTTCTGGGTTGTTCAGGATAGTCTTGGACGGGACATCTGTTGTATTCATGCCTCCTGCTCCCTCCTCATGCTTTGCCAGGGTTTGAGTTTCTCTGGTAACATTTGGCCAGACTCCCCCATCACAGCAAGTGGCCCTCAGCCAGATGAATAATAGTTTTGGGGTAGTAGCACTGTAACATTCATGGTTTCAGGGACCGTGGGAGCTGTTAAAAGTCCAGCCCCTAGCATGGCTGTCTTGCACCCCAACTTGCCCCAAGCTTTGCCCAAATGTTGACAGGAAGTACAAAGGAAAAGTGTGTTATGGAGAGGCAAGGCTGCACATTTCCTGGCTCTGTTGTGCCTACGCACTGCGACTTGGTGTTACAGAAAGTCCTGCCACAGAAAAAGATGCTCTCTGCCTGAGGAGCTTTCTCAGCTGTGCTTGGATGGCTTTGCTGCTACATGTCCCTAGCCAGGGCTTCTCCTGCAGCAACCAGGCTTCTCTCATTGATGGACTCTGTGGTTCTTCTCCTTTCCTCAGGCTCAGTAAGATTACAAACCGTTTAACCATCCAGAGGAAGAGCCAGTTTATGCAGAGGCTGCATAGCTACTGGACTCTGAAGAGACAGTCCCGCAATGGTGTCCCCCTGCTCCGCCGCCTGCAGACACACCTGCAGTCACAGAGAAACTGCGACCAGGTAAGGGCTGCCTGTTGGGGGGCTGCAGGGAACCCTGATTGTGTGCATGCTTCCTGCGCCTTTGGAGCTGTGGGCTTGGAGCCTTTGCTGCATGCAGTGCCTGCAGGTGCAGAATGGGGGTCAGGGGTATGAACTTTCAGATGAGGAAAGGGCAGCCCCAGCTGCTTTTGCTGCTTCACCTTCTCCTCCGCTCTCAGTGTTCAGAGAATTGCCAGGCAGCGACGCCACTGGCAGCCTGCCACAAGAAGGGAATCCTGCCCTCTCAAGCTGCCACACTGAAGGTATTTCCTTTCTTGTGCGTGCATTTAGCCAGCAGTGATGGCAAACCTGTCAGAAATGTCTCTAGTGTGAGGCCGCTGTGCCAGGCAGTGTTGAGAGAGATGGCCAGGGAACTCCAGAAACAGTCTGGACCAAACCAAGGCCTCGCTTCTAGTTTCTGATACTGCTCCAGGAGTGCTCCTTCTGGGTGCTTCTCCCAGCCCACAGTCAGCACTTCACACATTTGAAATCTGGTGCCAGAGAGGATGATTTTTCTTCTGGCTCCCCATCTGAGCTGTAAATCTTTATTTCTGAGTCTTTTGATGACTGTGACTGGGCAGGGGTTTCTCCCGCCTTTGTCTGCTCTTATTTATTATTTTTGCTGGAGAAGAGTTGATGCTGCTTCTGCTCAGTTTTGGCTATGGCAGGATAAAAGCTGCAATATTTTTGGTGCTCCAGAAATGAAAGAAACTAGAGCTGTGTTCCCTTTTTGAGCTGTTGCACTTTGTCAAAGCTGTGAGCAGCAGCACAGACCTCTTGGGCAGCTGCAGGCAGTCAGTCAGTCATGTTAGAAAGAGTATTTCCAGAAGCTCAGGATGTACACCTCCTGACATCCTAAGGGCTTGATGACCAAGGGGCAGGTATTTAGCTCTTGCCAGTGGTGAGACTGAATCACCTGCCTTGGTTAGAAAGAAAGGAGCTGTGACCTTAGCTGCACCAGCGGGTCAGGCATGGTGGTTCACTTTGCCAGGGGAAGAGCCCCAGCACACAGTCAGGAAGGTGGAGATGGGAGCACATCTTCTGTCAGCTCATGGTCTCTGATGTTCCCACAGAGAGACACTGAGGATAAGAACTGGGCCCTGAAGGAACAGCTGAAGTCATGGCAGCGCCTGCGCCATGACCTTGAGCGTGCGCGCTTGCTGGTGGAGCTGATACGCAAGCGGGAGAAACTCAAGAGAGAGACGGTAACGATTGCCCCTCCTCGGGGAGCTGCTGGGGTGGGCGTCAGCAGGGGCTCCTTAGAGTGCTGTAGGTGTGCCGGGGTCCCCTCGGCTGTGCTGCGCTCCGCTCCGATGGCTCCGAGCAAAGGTGGCTGCTCTGCAAGGCACAGGTGGGACGCACAGGTGCTGGAGCCGGTGTTACACCTCTGCTCCCCAGAAACGGGGCTGAGGGGTGGTCCCTACCCCTCAGCAAGGAGAGGAGAGGGGTTGCTGTCCTGCAGGGCTGCACTGCTGCTCCCTGGAGACAGTCCCCACTGCCTGGCTGGGGCCGGGGGCTCAGCCCCGCTCTGTCCCTTTGTTTCAGATCAAAGTGCAGCAGGTGGCACTGGAAATGCAGCTGACCCCATTCCTCATCCTCCTCCGCAAGACGCTTGAGCAGCTGCAGGAGAAAGACACGGGCAACATCTTCAGTGAGCCGGTCCCTCTGTCTGAGGTAACAGAAATCTACGAAGTAAGAACCCCCTCCCCAGATTTCTACTTCACTCAAACTTGTCCCTTGCTTGTGCCAAGGGCTACCCAGGGTGTGTTCTGGTCCAGAAGAATCCTGAGCAGCTGGTGCTGGCTCATGCCAGCACCACTCGTTCACCAGAGGGGGTGTGCAGCAGTGCTCCTCCCGGATGAGCCAAATGCAGAACAGCTGAGCTAGTGACAGCTGGGGCATAGCACTTGGCTCTTCTTCTGTTTGTGTTACTGGTGACATGCCAGGGTCTGCTGGGGATTCCCACCGGGAAAGGCAAAGTGCCAACCCTTAGCAGCCAGCATGCTCTTACCTGTTCTCTTGTGAAGGTCTCTGCTAGGTGAGTGAGCACAGCACAGAGATAGATTTAACTCTTAGACTGTCACTGCTACAGGCAGGGGAGATAATTCCTGAGACTGTCACCAAGTCCCTGCCTGGGAACATGCCAAAAGTCCACATGGTCTCTGCAAGGTTCTGGCAGCAGGTCACCATGGAGGCATCTTAGCAGATGGGGAGTAGGGCTGCATCATCTCACCTGCCACCTGGACAGCTCTGCTTTAGCTTTCTGCACTCACCTTACCCCTAGGGCTGCACTTGCAGCTCCCTCTCCAGGGAATAACATGTAGCATACTGGAACCCAGCTGCCTGAAGGCAGGAGTTGAGGACAGGATGCTGGCGTGTGTGCTGGAGCTGTAAAAATGCTTCGGAGTGCATATCCGCTCTAACAGGTTGAGCACAGCACATGGGCTTCCTAGTCCGGAGGCGTTGCTGTTCCTCAAGCTGCAAAAGCAGACGGCATTCCCCGATGTGCATTTGGGCAGAGCACAGGGAGTGATACCTGATTCCTCTAACAACTGTTTTCTTGGAGCAGGTACTGCTAACTGTGGCTCCTGGGCTCTTAACTCTGGCTCTTTCCTTATGCAGGTCCCAGACTACCTAGATCACATCAAGAAGCCAATGGATTTTCAGACAATGAAACAAAATCTAGAAGCCTATCGCTATCTGAATTTCGATGATTTTGAGGAGGATTTCAACCTGATTATTAACAACTGTTTGAAATACAATGCCAAAGACACAATCTTCTACCGGGCAGCCATCCGTCTGCGGGAGCAGGGAGGTGCCGTGCTCCGGCAGGCTCGCCGGCAGGCAGAGAAGATGGGCATTGACTTTGAGACAGGCATGCACTTCCCCCACTGCGTAACAGTAGAAGAGGCTCAGATCCAAGACATTGAGGATGGTGGGTACTCCTTCCCTGTCCTAGGGTATGAGGGCTACTCAGAGGTAAAGCCTGGGCAGAGTCTGAGCTGCGTCCTCTGGGAGGTTAAGTTGAATGCTGGGCTGTGTGTCCCCACTCCTTGGAGACCTGCTGGTTTTGCTAGCTAGGTACTTACCAGCCCCATTAGGTTGGTTCTAGGCAGTGGTTTGTCTGTGTGTCCTTTCTTTTGTGTTGCATCCTTGTTCCAGATAATGTGAACCTCAGTATTCTCCACACTGCAGATCAGCCTGCTTTCCCCAGTAGTCCCAGCTGACTGAGTTCCCACAGGGCTCCTTCCCTTGGTCTTTTAGGATAACTTCCCTAAAGGGTCCACAGGTGTTTGGTGCCATGCCAGTTTCTTCTCCCCTGCAGGGAACCTGGATTGCCTCATGCCTCTTCAGGTAGAGGAGCTCCACTGAGTTTCCGATTTCTTTGATCCATCTGCTCCTCTTTGTTTCCCCAGAAGATGTGCGGCTGCTGCTCTCAGAGAATCAGAAGCACCTGCCGCTGGAGGAGCAGCTAAAGATCCTGCTGGAGCGACTGGACGAGGTCAACGCTGGCAAGCAGAGCATAGGACGGTCCCGCCGGGCCAAGATGATCAAGAAGGAGATCACAGTCCTACGGCGGAAGCTCGCTCACCCGCGGGACCTGGGCCGGGATGGGCTGGAGCGGCACAGCTCCTCTGCCAGGGGAGTCCTGCAGTCCCACAACCCCTGTGAGAAGGACCTGCAGACAGACAGTGCTGCAGAGGAGAGCAGCAGCCAGGAGACTGGCAAAGGTAATATTGCCAGAGTTGCCAGTCTGAGGAGCCATGGAGAGCTGCCTCTGGACAGGCCTGTCTGGGGAGAGGCTGCCCTGGCAGTTGCCTCCTTAGGCAGGAGGATTGTGTGGGAGCTCTTCAACTCCTCCATGAGAATGAGGCGGGTGGGCTCTTGAGAGACAGTCCCTTATCCTGCATCCCCCTGTGGGGTGTCCTCCTTTCCTGTAGTGCCTCCCTTAGGGGCAGGTGCTGAGTATGGTATCTGTACCTTCCCAGGCTCCCTCCCAGCATACTCACGGGATAGTTTGTAGTGAGCTGTGCCAGCCATGCAGGGGAGATTGGATGAAGGCGGTCATGTCCTGTGTCTGGAACAGCCACAGCCTGGTGTGTGTTTGCCCCTGGGGAGGTTGGCAGGTTGCTGGTGTTCACAGCTGCGGTCAGCAGTCACCTGGTGAATTCATCTCTTTGTCAGTTGAGGAACTGGATGCTGTTCCAGAGACCTACAGTTCCAGCTGTGTGATGTGGGGCATCATGTGGATTGTTTCCTTCTGCTAGGACCTACCAGCCTGGCCATGTTGCCCGGTTTCTAGGGGCATATGGAGCAGGCTGCCTTCGGTGTCCCTTCCTGCCAGAGGGCATGGGAGGGAGTTGCAGCAGCAGTGACTGCTGAGCTCCAAGAGCTTTCCCCAAGGCTGAGAGTTGGACAGGCCAGGTGCCAGCTCCCTGGATGGAGATGCTGAGCTGGGCTCTGTGAAGAGCACAGCAAAAGATCCAGGCAGAGCTACCATGTGTCACTGAGTGTTTGCCACTTCTGCATCTCAGTCCTCTCCCCTAATCACTGGGAAAGGCAGGTTCTTCCTACAGTGAGGGAGGATCTTGTGAGATAATGTTCCCCATGCAGTTCCTGCCATCAGGGCTGCAGCTGACACCTTCTCCCTCTTCCAGGTCTGGGTCCCAATTCTTCTTCTACCCCAGCACATGAAGTTGGCAGGAGGACCTCTGTGCTCTTCTCCAAGAAGAACCCTAAAACTGCAGGCCCTCCAAAACGTCCAGGACGCCCCCCAAAGAATCGAGACAGCCAGATCCCTCCTGGGCATGGCAGCAGCCCCATTGGGCCTCCCCAGCTACCAATAATGGGGTCCTCCCAGCGGCAGAGGAAGCGAGGGCGAAGCCCACGTCCCAGCTCCAGCTCAGACAGTGACAGTGACAAATCCACGGAGGACGCTACCATGGGTGAGTGCAGCTGGGCAGCTGTGGGCCCGCTGGCAGCACGTGGCAGGCTCTGGTGCAGTGGTAATGCTCTTCGGTGGGATGTTTTTCAGACCTGCCAGCCAACGGTTTCAGCAGTGGGAACCAGCCCGTGAAGAAGAGCTTCCTGGTGTATCGCAATGACTGCAATCTTCCCCGGAGCAGCTCCGACTCGGAGTCCAGCAGCAGCAGCAGCAGCAGCGCTGCCTCAGACCGCACCAGGTACTGCCCTCTGCTGACAGCAGTGCTGCCCAGGGTGGCATTGGGCAGCTCTCAGCCTTGAGTTTCTGGACAATTACCCCGTTTGGTGGTCCCCATCTCGTTCATCCTGCAGCTCAGCTGCTAATCCCTAGAAGTCTGTGGGGTTTGTGCCTTTTTTAATGTAAAATCTAAAGGTGTGAGTGTGCTGCATTGGGCTAGTAGGAAGCATGAACTAGGGAATTCCCTATTGGCACAGCAGCTGCTCTGTTGTTGGCCCTTCCAGCAGCCAGCACCAGCACCTCTTGCCTGCACCTCTATTTTGGATGAGGGCACATCTTCTGGTCCTCCCACGTGGAACTGGGTGAGGGTCTGGCTTGCACCCTGGCAGAAGCACCATCCCACCTTTCTGCTTGGTACCTCTGCCAAGTCCTTCCCAGTGCCAAGGCCAGCAGTTGGAGGCCACAAGCCCTGGTGTCCCACCAGCCTGGCCTGCTGGAAAACAGTTTCTGGAAGCTTAACATGACTCCTACTGATAGCTGTGCTCCCTGTCTCTGCAGCACAACACCCTCCAAGCAGGGCAGAGGGAAACCATCCTTCTCTCGAGTGAACTTCCCAGAAGACAGCAGTGAGGACACATCAGGGACAGAGAACGAGTCCTACTCCGTGGGCACGGGACGAGGTGTGGGGCATGGCAGTAAGTACAGTGGCTGCACAGCTGTGTGCCTGGCTGGCACCATCTCCTGGGGGGACAGAGCTGACTCCCCTCTCCTCCTGTACAGTGGTGCGTAAGGGAATGGGGCGTGGTGCAGGGTGGCTCTCTGAGGATGAGGATTCTTCCCTGGATGCCCTGGACCTGGTGTGGGCCAAGTGCAGGGGTTACCCCTCCTACCCTGCGTTGGTGAGTACTGCCTGTTACCGGGGCCTCCGAAATCCATGTCCCGTCCCTGCAGACTGGCTCTTGGGGTCCCTGTTCTCCTCTCAGCCCTCCCCTGCTCGTTTTGCAGATCATTGACCCCAAGATGCCGCGGGAAGGCATGTTCCACCATGGGGTCCCCATCCCCGTGCCCCCCTTGGAGGTGCTGAAGCTGGGGGAGCAGATGACTCAGGAAGCACGCGAGCACCTCTACCTTGTTCTCTTCTTTGACAACAAGCGCACTTGGTAAGGCCAGGGCACCGAGGGCTTTGGGGGGGTCCCCAGAGACGATTGTAACCCTCAAACGAGGTGGCCCCCCGCTCTCCACAGGCAGTGGTTGCCCCGGACGAAGCTGGTGCCTCTGGGGGTGAACCAGGACCTGGACAAAGAGAAGATGCTGGAGGGCCGCAAGTCCAACATCCGCAAGTCGGTGCAGATCGCCTACCACCGCGCCATGCAGCACCGCAACAAGGTGCAGGGCGAGCAGAGCAGCGACTCCAGCGAGAGCGACTGAGCCGCTGCCGCCGGCCGCTCCCCCGCCGAATCTCAGGGCAAACGGGGCTCGGTGACCCCCACGCCGTGCAGCTGGCCTGCACCCACGGGGGGCCGGGGGACCGGGAGGGGTGGGGCCGATCCGTCGTGGCCCCCCCCTACTCTCCCATTCCCGGTGCCCACTCCCCCCAGCCCGCCGCTCCCCGGGATGCTGTTCTGGCCGCCGCCGTGCTCCAGGGCGGCCCCCGCGCCCCGCACCCCCGTGCTGCCCCCCCACCCCTGGGCCCAGCCCCTGGCCGGCCCCGCGCTCGGACGTTGTTTGTATTTATTTTGAAGGAAGAAAAAAAAAATCTATTGATTCTTAGAAAATAAACCTCCACTGCGGAGCCGCGGGCGGGGCGGGCGTGCGGCGGCGCCGGCCGCGCTTCCGGCTGCGAGCGGAAGGTGGGGCGGGAGCGGCGGGGCCGGGGGCCGGGGCCGGGGGCACGGGCCGGGGCTGGGGGGCAGCCGGGCGGTTCCTTGACCCCGCCGCCCCCGCGGGCAGCGGCGCGCAGCCGCTCCCCGGCCCCCATGAAGCTGCGGGACGCCCCTTCCGCCTGCCCGTCCCTGTGGCGCTGGCTGCCGTGCCCGCCGGCCGAGCTGCGCCTGGACCTGGTGCTGTCCTCGGGACAGAGCTTCCGGTGAGCCGGCCCGGGCGGCTCGGGCGTGCCCCGGCCCAGCCCTGCGCGTCCGAGCCGGCCCCGACCCCCCCGTGTGCGGCAGGTGGTGGGAGAGCAGCCCGGGGGCGTGGACGGGCGTGCTCGGGGGCCGCGTCTGGACTCTGCGGCAGGACGGGGATCGGCTCTGGTACACCGTGTACGGCGAGGAGGAGGAGCACGAAGAGGAGCGGGATGAGTGCTCCGCCAAAGCGGCGAGGCTGAGCGCCGCAGAGACGGAGCGGATCCTGCGCGACTACTTCCAGCTGGACGTGGGGCTGTCGCCCCTCTACCGTGCCTGGGGGGCGGCCGACCCTCTGTTCCGCAAGGTGGCCAATGACTTCCCAGGTCAGGCGGCTCCACGGAGCTACAAGGGCTGGCCATGGCACCTGCTCGGCGTCCCCTCACAGCATCTTGCCTGCAGGGGTGCGGGTGCTGCGGCAGGACCCCGTCGAGTGCCTCTTCTCCTTCATCTGCACCTCCAACAACCACATTTCTCGCATCACTGCCATGATCGAGCGCCTCTGCCAGGCCTTCGGCCGCCGTCTCTGCTGCCTCGATTCCCGGCCCTTCCATGCCTTCCCATCCCTCTCGGCGCTCACAGGTCCACCATCGCCCCGCTGCTGCCACTGTCACATTGCCATGGCCTGGCCTGCGCCCACTCAGTGCCTCTGCTGTGCCCCTCCCAGGTGCTGATGCCGAGGCCCGGCTGCGGGCGCTGGGCTTCGGGTACCGGGCCAAGTTTGTCAGCGGGAGTGCGCGGGCCATCGCTGAGGGGCTCGGCTCTGAGGGGCTGTGCCAGCTCCGCACCGCGCCCTATGCCGAGGCCAGGAGGGTGCTGTGTGCCCTGCCTGGTGTAGGTGCCAAGGTGGGTGCCGGGACGGGGGTGGGGCAGGGAGCAGAGACCAGCACTGGGGGCTGACTGGGTGCTGCTGGTGGCAGGTGGCCGACTGCGTCTGCCTGTTGTCCCTGGACAAGGCGGAGGCGGTGCCCGTGGACACCCACGTCTGGCACATCGCACGGCAGCGCTATGGCGTGGCGCTGGGCGGCAAGAGCCTCACCCCACGGGCCTACCAGGAGATCGGTGAGGGCAGGGCTGGATCCTGATGTGGGACCCTCAAGGGATGGTGGATGGTGCAAGTGTACCCCCACACTGGCGTTCAACCTCTTTCTGCAGGCGACTTCTTCCGGGGGCTGTGGGGCCCTCGTGCTGGCTGGGCGCAGGCAGTGAGTACCCCCCACTTCCTGGCTCCCTTGCCCCCACCCCAAGCCATGCCCACCCCGCTATCTCCCCATTCCAGGTCCTGTTCTGTGCTGACCTCCGCAAGGGCCAGAAGCCAGCCAGCATCAGGCCTGAGAGAGCTGAGGCTGGGACAGCTATGGGGGTAGGCTCCTCTAGGGACACCCCAGGAGGAACAGAGACTTGAGTGGGACACTGCATCGGCTGCCAGCCTGGGATTGAGGAGTGTGGGCAGCTGCCTGTTGCCTGCCCACTGTGTGCATGGGGGAAGCTGCTGCCCTGGGCAGTGAAGCTTGGGGGGGGTCAGGGCTGTGTTGAGCTCCCTCGGTGCAGAGCTGAGCCAAGCACCTTTGGCCTCTTGCCTTTATTACAAGCAATAAAATAGAAACATCCATTTGGAAAATTGTCCTTGAACATGCTGGGGTTGGGGGTGTGGGACAGTGCCAGGCCAGGCGTGGAGGGAGGGAAGGGGTGTGGGAAGGGGCCCGGGACAAAGCCCCAAGCTGGGGGGCTCTGTGGTGTGCTCCTGCCCTGATGCAGAATTCTGCTGTGAGGCTGCGGTGGGGGCAGCTCCACATAACCAGGAGAAGCCAAGCAGGATGCCTCCACACTATCTCCCCTGCTCCTGCACTGCAGAGCCCCCCCACCCCACATGGTGGGCTCCCTTGGAGGCTGCTGTGTGCTCAGTCGGGTGGGAGACGCTGAGCTCTGCTTGTGGGTGGGTGCCCAAACTCTGACCCTGCAGGGAGGAACAGGGTGAGATCCTGGTGGCAGCCCTGAGGGGTCTGGGATGGGGGGGTTCAGGGCTCACCATTGCTGGTCCCCCGGACCAGCCGTTCACTGGGGCTCGTGGGAGTTGTCTGCCCAGGGACGTCCTGGCTGGTCCCCAGCTGCAGCTTTCTCATGTGTCTCACCACCGCCGTGGCGTTGAAAGCTTGCTACTGACCCCACAGTGTCCGTCAGCTGGTATGGGGTGCCTGAGGGGCTGCTGCATCCCCTAATACCCACCAGCACCCCACACTCACCTTCCACTTGCTCTTTGCAAAATTCTTCTTGATCTGCTCACTCACTGACTGGTGGATGTTCTTGTCCAGGGCTGTGTCCCCGGCAATCCTGGAGCAAGACAGAAGTCAGCCAGGGCACCCCTATCCCATGGCTGCTGTGGGGTGAGCTGGAGAGGGGGGCAGACAGCAATAGGTCTCCCCATTACCAGGGATGCTGCAGGGCTTGCTCACAGGTGAATCGCTTGCCAGGGTCCTTCTCCATCAGGTGCTGGATGAAGTCCTTGGCTGGAACACAGCATGGAGCAGCTCTCAGAGCCTATGTCCACCATTCCTCTGGATACTGTGAAGCTGCGCTAGGTTCACAGGTCCCACTGCCCTGGTGGTCCCAGCTCACCTGAGTCCGAGATATCATCCCAGTATGGTGAGTCAAACTCGTACTCAGCCTGCAGGATCTGCTCAAAGAGCTTAGCATCGTTCTCGTCATAGAAAGGAGGGTAACCACAGAGCCTAGGGGGGCAGTGGGGAGGGGGCTGCTAGTCCCAGGCAGCCCCAAGGTGCCAGGCCCCCAGGAGGGGAAGGGAGTGGGAAGGGGGATACATACAGGATGTAGGCGATGACTCCGATGGACCAGCAATCCACTGCTTTGCTGTAGGGCTTCTGTGCTAGCACCTCAGGGGCTGGGGGGGATGGCAGCGGTGAGGGGGGACCCCAACCTGTGGGGGGATCGCAACCCCACACCTAGGGTGGTGGCAGCCCATGGTAGGTGCTCACCCACATAGCCAGGGGTGCCACAGGCTGTGGACATGACACTGCCACAGCCCTCGATCTTTGACAGCCCAAAGTCACTGATCATGATCTTGGAGTCCTCATCCATGCTGTAGTAGAGCAGGTTCTCAGGCTGTGAGGAGAGGAGGGTAGAGGGAGGGGTGACACTGGGGTCTCCTGCCCGGTGCCAAGACAGTGCTGTGTGTGCCCCCCTCAACTGCTCACCTTCAGGTCACGGTGGACGATACCCATGTCATGCAGGTATTTGACGGCATCGAGGATCTGCCGGATCAGGGCGCTGGCGTCCCGCTCAGTGTAGAAGCCCTTCTCCACGATGCGGTCAAAGAGTTCCCCCCCCGAGACCCTGCAGGGACGGACAGCACCTGTCAGCATGGCCCCCCCGCCCCTCTGGAGCCCCACAACGTCACTCACAGCTGCATGATGAGGTAGAGGTGGGTGCCACTCTCGTAGATGTCATCCAAGGCCACGATATTGGGGTGCTTGATTCTGCAGGGGGAGGCATAGGGGGGTGGTGAGGGGGCACTGGGCTGCCCCCACCCCAGCCCCCAGGGGACAGGGAGCAGCCAGGCTCCGCGCCGCAGGTCATCACGCGCCGCTGGCTATTTTGGGCACTGGCAATAACAGGCGGCAATGAGTGCTGGCAGTGGGGGGCTGTGCCGGGTTGGGGCGGGGGGCACAGAGTGAAACCCCCACCCTGGTGCTGGGATGGCCCCTACTTGTGGAGGACGGCAATCTCGTTCTCAATGCTGGTCTCCTTTCCCTCCAGAGCCTTCTTGGCAATGCACTTGATGGCCACGAGCTTCCGCGTCGCCTTCTCCTCCGCCAGGACCACCTCGGAGAAGGCCCCCCTGGGGGGGTGAGGGATGAGCAGGGCACGGGGACCACCAGCCAGAGCTGCCAATGCCGCCATGCCATGATTGTCATGGTGACAGGCAGAAAGTCCAGCTATTTATAGGAGAAAAGCAAGCAGGAGTGGCTGGCTGGGATGGCCGGACGTGGACCCTGGCAGCGAAAGGATGCCTGGAACCCTCCACCCTCCCAGTGTGGCTGCACCATCCCCATATCAGGCAGGGTAAGGTTGTGGTGTTGCCAAGGTCAAGCTGTGCTGGGGCTGAGCTTCCATGCAGGTTGCAGTAGCGCTCCACTGTGCCATCCTGTAGCACCTAGGGCCAACCAGGCGCCAGCCAGAGCTGTTGGCAGTGCCCAGGTGGGAAAGAGACAGGAGGGACAGGCAGTGTGTTCGCACTGTGCTGGGCCCTAATCCCCGACATAATTAACCTGCTAATCCAGCCTAAGAGCCTTACCATGGGGTTCTGCCAGGAACCCCTCTGCCAGCCAGGGGACCACCTTCAGGTACCCTCAGCACAGCCCAGGAACTAGCCAGCACCAGAGGGAGGTGGCACCTGTGCCCCACAGGTACAAGCCCCACCTTGGGCCAGGATTTGAGCTATTTCAGGACATATGCAAGCCCCACCTTGGGCCAGGATTTGAGCTATTTCCACATGGATGG